TATATTTGTCCATGTTATTCATGTTCATTGCTCTCTCCTGCTTACTCGTACTCTTATTCGCTCACTCGCTCGCTTGCCTGTTTGCCTTTCAGCACAACTCTTTCAGTGTATGTAAACACGATACGACTTTTTGTGGGACAGGTAGGACTTATAGCAGTATGCTCACAGTTTAAAAGCCAGGCTCTGAACCACAACTCCCTACGACTCTACTATCTATAACTCAACTGAAACTGAATATTGCCTATATGCACGTGTACTAAATCTCACGTAAACAGAATCGGCTGATATGTCTTGCTGACGTTCCCACGGTTTTGTTCCAGTTCCCAGGGTTCGATCGTGGCTGACTCGGATATGGTTTGTTTTCTGCTGTCAAGTTATCGTCATCCACAAAGTACATATAGGTGTGTAATTTTTACCTTACAACTTTGCCTGTAGCTCTTCTAGAGTTACTGCCGGTCTCAAGCCCGGGTTGGGCATGGGGTTAGCGACCCCATCCCGTAGAAAACTAACTCGCTAAAAAAACGCTAACCAGAAAAAATAATGCAAACCATTTAAACTCTGCCCTGGGAGTTAGAAAGTCTTCATTTAGAAGAACTATGACGCCTCATGGTGAAAGTCAAGTTCTTTCGGAATTCACGAAGCCGATGTCCCTTATAATAACCAGAGCAACACTTTTTATAGGTAAATGGGACGTCCGGACAATGTGGGAGACCAGGAAGACCAATCAAATAGCAACGGAAATGAGGAGATACAACTTGACAGTACTGGGAATCAGCGAAACCCATTGGACCCAAGCTGGACAGCAAAGGCTAAATACGGGAGAGATGTTGCTATACTCCGGTCACGAAAAGGAACATGCTCCACACACTCAGGGAGTTGCTCTAATGCGGTCCAAATTAGCACGAAATGCACTTGTGGGATGGGAATCTCACGGATCCAGAATCATCAAAGCATCATTCGAAACAAAGAAAGAGGGGATCACAATGAATATTATCCAATGTTATGCACCCACCAATGATAGCAACGACGACATTAAAGATCAATTCTATGAGAGGCTGCAATCAATCATAGAGAAGTGCCCAAGAAAGGACCTCACCATTCTGATGGGAGATTTAAACGCCGAAATCGGAATAGACAACACCGGCTATGAGGATATCATGGGACGAAATGGACTGGGAGAGAGAAACGAAAATGGGGAAAGATTTGCAAATCTGTGTGCATTCAACAAATTGGTCATAGGCGACACAATATTTCCACACAAACGTATACATAGAGCTACATGGATCTCACTGGACCACACCACAAGGAACCAGATAGATCATATTTGCATCAATAAAAATTTTCGAAGGACAATGGAAGATGTGAGAACCAGGAGAGGAGCTGACACAGTTTCAGATCACCACCTGGTTGTGGCCAACTTAAAACTGAAGTTAAAGAAGGACTGGACAACTGGACAAACAGCGCTGCAAAGGTTCAATACAGCCTTCCTTCGAGATACTAACAAATTCAGTGAGTTCAAGATCGCTCTCAACATCAGGTTCCAAGCCTTACAGGATCTACTGAAGGAAGAAGAAACTATTATGGAGGACAACTGGAAAGGTATCAAAGAAGCATTAACTTCAACGTGTCAAGAGGTTCTGGGCGTCAAGAAGCATCATCATAAGGAATGGATCTCTATATTAACACTGGACAATATCAACGAAAGGAAGAACAAGAAGACAGCAATTAACAACAGCCGAACACGAGCAGAGAAAGTCCAAGCACAAGAGAACAAACCAGGTTCCAGCTGAAGTGGAAATTAGGAAACGACGATGGAAATGGATAGGACATAAATTACGCAAATCACCAAACTACATCTCGAGGCAAACCCAAACTTGGAATCTTGAAGGGAAGCGGAAAAGAGAAAGGCCATAGAACACATTATATCGAGAAATAGAAGCGGATATGAAAAGGATGAATAGCAAGTGGAAAGAGCTGGGAAGGATTACCCAGGACAGGGTTGGATGGAGAATACTTGTGAGCAACCTATGCTCCTTCGCGAGGAGTAACAGGTGTAAGTAAGTAATTTCTTCTTACATTCGTTATTCTCGTACATCGCCTGGACTCGAACGCGACGTAAGCACTAATTAGTCTTTCTTAAACCAGCTTAAGCCCTATGATCTCAAGCTAACCCATGGCTGGTCTTCTTACTTGTGGCATTCTAACATTGACATAGCACGAATTTCATCTCAACTGCACTACGTATACAACTCATTTGGGCAATTTGACGGTTTCCATTTAGTCAAGATAGTCTTATAAAAACCAATCATAATACAAAGCTGAGTGTAGATATTGGATAAATCAATACTAAATAGTATTTACGAATGAACAGTCAATGATGTCAATTATTTATTTAGTTAAACACAAGAGGCTTCAAAATTTTGATCGTATTGTTTAGTCGTTGCCAGGGATCAATGTGGAAGCTACGGAACTGGGGACCTACAGAAACATATAACCTGATTATATGAATCACACTGCAGTCAATCCCGAATGAAAAATCATGTCTACTTTCAATAGTCTCCTGATTTTCGAAATTCCTTGTGATGTTTACCTGTCCTCCTCAATAATGATGGCCTGTTGACACCCATAATAATCAAGCCACTGACGGTCCGCATATCCACTCTCCTTACAAGCCCATTTCCACTAACGTGTTACGCCCAATCGATTTTCCTCTGAGGTTGACGTATTGACGATCTGTACTACATCAGCATGTGAGATTTTCGTATAGACTTTACGATATATGCAATTCTGAATTTTCCAAACTTTTCTACATAGCAATGGAAATAAGCTTGTCACAGTTCTCTGGGAGATTTCTGAAAGGAAATGCCTACAGTGGGAAGAAAACAACTGCCGACTCATGCGCTGTCATTATCTTGTGGAAAGTGGCATTCAACACGATGAGTGCAAAAGGTTGTACCACGATGTTTGCGTGAGCATCACGTACAAGGCTTCCAAATGTCGCAGTAAAAATGAATGGACGTGACTGTGTCAGAAATGCTGTTGGGACGCAAGCAGCTTAGTATCAGTGGCCACTGAAATGGCAAATGATTCTGAACGACACTTTAGCAGGTGTTATCAAGATAGAACAAATGGTACTCGCTGTGTCAATACACAAATCCATGTGAGATCATCCCGAATAAGCTCAGAGCCGATCGGCTTACACGAACCAAAGAAGGAGAAACAAACTTAAAAGAGGTCTGTTATGAATAAAAAACCAGAAAGTATTTTTAGTTCCCCAAACTCAAAATGAAAGCTTTCAGGGAAAGCCTAGTCTCAAGGTCATGCTCGTCTCAAGCAGGAAAACCAACAACCTAACCACCCAACACATCAACAATTTCCAGAATCTCACAATTTGTGATTGCTACTTTAATGAGAGATGATAGCTGGGTGCAAATCAAGGATAAGAAACGACCTAAGACATGAGCCACTGGTTAGTTTGGTCCATCAAGTTCCAAACTATGAGATGAAAGAGGTCTTGTCGGACGGTTTTAACACTTTGTCTTCATATGGTTGGTGTTCAATCTTAGGAGACTTCAATGCACCTAAGGTGGACTAGCGAATCTGAAGAATGAGTGGTCAAAAACTTCTTCCGAACAAAGTTCGGCTGACGCAGTTAACACATGTCTCCAAATGCAACATGTATAAGAACTAATGAGGGACTCCCTGGACTCTGAATCATCTTCACTAGAAGCTTCTCACTTTTCTTTGGAAAAGGAGAAAATGTGGGAGAGATTTAGGTTACTGGGTACTGACGAGACAAATCTCAATATTGGGGAGGTCCAAATATTTGTGAATCAATTATCTTTATGTTGAGGGGGTTGTACGCAATAAAGCTTGCATGTAATTCTATAGAATACTCCAAACGTTTATATTTACACATGAACCAATGAGTAAGGTGGGGAGGCAGAAATATAGCACTTCGGACAGACAATAGTAATACATCAGTAGCAAATGACGATTATGGTAAAGCTCAGGTATTCTCAGGTTGATTTAGCAATCTGTATATCGTGGAGATGCTCTACCCTTCAGTCCATACAACCAATCAATGAAGAACTCGGTATCTCCGATCTGTCAAATAACTTTGCTATCGGTAGATCCGTGTGACCAGATGAAATCCATGCTAGATTACCAAAGAAACTATTAAATTTTGTTATAAATCCCCTAAGTACACATTTAAGTTCATCTTTAACCCAATGAAGATTACTAAAACACTGGAAGAATGACATATTAAGTCCCGTCTTCAAGACAAGTACGATATAAAATGACTTCATTAGTCTCCTATCATCACCGCTTTTGTTATATACGATATGGATAGCCAATCAGAAGTAGTCAAATGAAACAGTCAGTCGATAGCAGTCAGAAGTGGCATAAAGGACATGTGTATTTTGTTAGGGTTCAAATGGGTCAATTTCCTAAGAATAGACTGGGATATATATGAGTGAGTATTTGTGCATTTGATTCGCTTGTCCAGAACACTTTCTCAATCAGATAGCCACTTAGGCGGTTAGCTCATAGCCCTCAAAAGAAAGTTAGATCGACTGAAATTTTGCCATTGTTAGGACTTACACAGGACACCCAGCCTACTATCCATTCCAAAATGATATTGATATTATTAGGGTGAAAACAGTGTTATAGAAGTCACATTACACAACCAAAAGAAAATATCACAAGCTTAATAAATTCTTCAGTATGTTTCTGACTGATAACAACCACAAACGTTACAAATAACAGTTCATTGACGATATTTATCTATGTTATTATAGAGGTATAACAAATCGTTCTAAAAAAATGCAAATACGAATAATAGAGTCCATCGTTGTGTAATTTTGGAAAGGCGAGTAAATTTTTCTTTTGATTCGGTCTGCATTTCGCAGAAATACATGTTACCTACCTAGAATTTGTTTGTCAGATTTAATTTTACCAAGGTGACTCAGCTTTACAAATTAGCGCTTATTTGAGATATGGCTGTTTTGTCGTTGTTTGACCCCTTAATACTAGAACATATCAACTGTTCTGAGTTGATCAAGAAACATGTAGTGCATATTAACGTTCAAAATTCAAAAATGATACCGAAAATACGACCTCTATTATCATCTGATTATGGTAATTTCATAATTTTGATATTGAGTGCTAGATTACCTTGCTTTATTAAAACAGTTAACCGTAGTTGGGAAGATAGAACAAAGAGAATTTGATGGTAATAAATATTGAAATTAATATTCTTCATTAGAAAGATTTTCTTTGATGGCCTCTTGCTTGGATACATATTTTATTGTAGTTTTAGAAGATGCTACAACAAGTAGAATCATTGGAGCAGCAACTCTCTTCATAGAGTTAAAGTTCATTCATCAGTGTTCCAAGGTAGCTGTAATTTTACTTGATATGTTTTCAGCGTGGTCATATCGAGGATGTTATAGTCGATTCAAGATATCGCGGGATGAATTTCGGAAGACTGTAAGTTGCATTTTCACTATATAATGGTTCCTCGTAAGGCGTCACATGATTTTAAAATCTATAGATAAGACGTTCGTCCTATACAATATAATACTAATTTTTCTCTGAACCTTCCCATAATTATACTTTTTTACGATTGATTTCTGATAGCACCGATTAAATTCCATTATAAGTTGAGCATACCGTTAATTTAAAGGTTTAATAAAAATATGTAATCAATGTGATTGACCACTGTATTGTTTATAAGTTTAAATATTACGGCCACCTAACTTGTTTCATATTTTTCTGCCCAATCAAATTTTACCGACCGTTTTAAACTGCTCACACATTTTTAGAAAGTATCTTTTCTAGGGTTTCAGTTTCAGTTTGTAAAGGACAGCAAGCTTGATGGCCTGTGTTAGTCCTGGAAATGGTGTTCTCTCAGTTGAGTCTCAACCACGTTCTGAAGTAATGAATTCCACTCGTTGATGATTCGATGGGAAAGTCGGTAGTCAGCTGACAAGTAATTTGTTCTGGGCTTGTGAACTTTTTTGGAGTGCCCTCGTAAATTCTCTGTTTTGGAAGACAAGAAAAATGAGGGCATATCAGGTGCAAATTTATCACCAAGCGATTTGAAAACTAATCAAGTCGCCTCTAGTTCTACGATATGACAAAGGTAATAGGTTTAACTTGTCCAGTCGCGCATCATACGGAAGCTTCGCTGTTCCTGGACTCAGCCTAGTTGCTGTTCTCTGGACCTTTCCCAAAAGCTCACTGTCTTTTTTTAAGCAGGGGCTAGCCTCTTGTATGCAGTACTCAAGTTTAGCACGTACGAACACTGTATACAAAGTCAAAAACGTTTTAGCGACGACATTAGTAAAAGCCCTACGTATTGACCATAAAGTTCTAAAACCTTTGACGGCTATTGCACGGCAGTGTGCAGTAGTCTTTAAATCTTAGCTAACGGTGACTCCTAAATCATTATGTGTCTGGACAACAGGTAGCTCAGTGTTATTCATCGTGTATGTACCTGTACCTTGATGACCGATATGCATCACAACACATTTGGAAGTATTTATCGGCAACTGCCAGGTATGAGACCATTCGGATAATTTGTTCAGCTCATTTTGGAGTTCTAAGCTACCACCCTTACATCGTATCGTTATCCATATCTTCGTCGGCATATAGTAAGACCGATGATGATAGTAAGCGAGGAAGGTCAATTACATACAACAGGAATAGCACTGGCCTCAGTCTTTATATAATTTTTTCTGTCTGTAATAAATTTTAAGTGCTGTCACATAGCTGGTATACCAATCTGACCTTAATGTACTTACGAACGACACAAAATGAATACTCAAAGTTTTAAATTACATTAAAATATTACCCTGGAGTAGAAAGATGAAACGAACCCACTAAAAGTACAGACATTCTCAAAATATTTATATTTTAAAACATGTTGAGGAATTAAAAAAGGAATAAATTTTACAAATATTTAGTCAATTAGTCGTGGTCAACACAGAGCCTGGGGCAATTTTGCACCGACCAACGCATCACCCCAAATCTGTAAAAAAGTGGAATTAACAGGATGAACACCAGATGAGTTGAAATAATGGGTCCACGACAGTATATTTTAACAAAGAAGATACGGTCCGCAAAGCATAGGTAGAATAAGAGGATTAAAGGCGTGAAATCACATTTCACGCAAACTTAGATGAAGGGAGTAGTAGGCTCATCTATGTGAATGTAACAGATTTTAAGTTATGTGGCTTAATGTTTTCAAAGTTGGTCGCGAACGCCTCATGGTTATCAAACAGGCAGTCTCTGTCTATCAGCGTGACTCAAACCAACAGTCAACGATCAATTGGGCTGATGTATGTCTTGGTTTAGACTTCCAGATTTCTTCCAACCTAATCATTTGCTAGCTAACACTGCATTAAAAGTTAGGCGCTACTTGCGCAAACATAATACACTTCTATACCATCACAGTTGATGAAATTCATAATCTCATTAACCGATGTTTCATCTGTACCTACTACTCCTTGCCTAATTTCAACATTGCTTCAAAGACGTCTGCAGTTAAATGCTAGTGGCTTACCAATTTTCTCTACTTTCGAAGGCTGCATTTCATAAACGTAAAGTAAAACAAGGTGGACTACTGTTCAATGTACTCGTCCTTTGGTGGTAGAAAGACATCTCTTATTGCAAATTTGTGGGAGATTCGTAGGAATCAAGTGGACTCTAAATCCACGCCCACCAACCCACAAGAGCTGATGAGACTTTACAAGTGAGGTGGTCAATGCGCTCAATGAATTCATTCCTTATGATTAATGTAAACATTAAAACAAAAATACTAAAGCATTTTTCATTTACAGGGATGGGAATGCTCCACAGCGTCCTTCAGGATTTCAATAAAGTTTGTGAAGGAATGCATTTAGATGTATGCAAACTAAACATATGTGCATCAGATTCGTAAGATTTTGTTGGGAGAAGCGAAACCCAGTGACTTGTGAAACTGGAAGTACAGTTGAATAGGTAAATAGTAATCTCTTCAGATGTGTACAATATTCAGCAGCGGGCCAAATGTAATACTTTGTTTATCCCACTGACATTGTAGATAATAAAACCTTGAACCTCTTTTATGCTAGAGCTTGGACGTATTGGTAAAGTTAAAAATTACTGCTGTTGAGGTAAAATGATATCAGATATTAGAACGTAAACAATAGTCATAGAGCGATAAATGTTTAGTTACCTCCTCTATCTTACGTTTAAAAGTGTATGAAGAGTTCCCAGCTGTTTCTTTCTCGCATTCGTGTACAGATCAACGGATGATTAGAATTGAAGCGAAAATTTCAAAAACAGCAGTTTCAGACTAAAAAGATGGAGTTGTTTGTATGACAACAAGATCTATACATTGAAGAATGCCTACAAAACAGCGCTTCCCAACCGTTCACGTTAAAGACAATGACGTCTAGGAAAGTAAAACGAAACGTATAGTTAGTACTTCATTGTACAAATTACTTGAGAGTAGTCTGCAAGGCTTAGTAAGTGAGTTTAACTTATCAATCATATTAAGGGGATTGTTGTCGACATAAGAAATTTTGAGGCTTGTCTTCATGCTGTTTCCTATAGTTGAATGTAAACGCAGTTCATGGCGTCAGAGAATAAGAAAACCATGCGGTTATTACAAATCAGTTCGACTACGTTTTGAGATATCATTCTTGGGCCAATGCCACGATGCGAACTAATCATGGTGTAATAATTTCTGTTTAAACACATATATTGGCACAAAGGGGCGCCAAAATAGAAATGTTCCACACAGCAAATAAGAGTGTGAAGAGATTAAGGAGGGTGGAGATAATAAAAAGTAGGGGAAACAATGAATGAATAAAATAAGCAGGATCTCCACTGGCTTCTATTCCGAGTCATATATGATAACATCTCAAGATGATGTATTGCACTACCAGGGAGCTGTGAAGGTCAGCCAGGCTTCAGTCCTGTAGTCTTTTTTTCATACCCTGGGAACATTTCATAAACTGATCACCTCTGCTTTCTCCAGCCAGCCCCAGGGTCGGTTAATGGTGCATGATTTGCTGAGACATTTGCTTAATAATGGCTGAAGTCAGCAGTACTGCTCCTCAAAAAAGCTTCTTAATATGGTTAAAACAGCTATTTCTAAACCCAATAGCTTAACTGTGTCATTGTTGTAGATAAAGTGGAACAATCATTCGACTAATATTGCCTGGAAATCTAGCGAAACTGAGCGAGTGTGTATCAAAAAAGTGCACTCAGCTATTCTTAGAACGAATTCTTTCTCCTTGTATTTATTCTTATTTGGTTTTACGATGAACGTAATTTCTGAACGTGTGATTAACCAATATTTTGTGAGGAGTCCGTAATAAGTCTAGAATACTGGAACACCTATGAGCGATTACATCTCTGTCGTAAAGACAGTGGTATAACAAAAAGCTGTGTCACTGTGAAACAGAGTAATGTAGTCGCCCAAGAAGGTGACTTTGCATTTACAAGATTTGTCGTTTGTCTGATGGTTGATAGTTGACAGGAAAACCCTGTTAGCATGGCATACCAGTAATCTTCAGACAGATCACGGCCCTCAGTAGATTTGAACCTGATTCATCCAACTTTACAGTCTAAGGCATTACCACTGGGTTGTTCAAGCTCCGACTGCCCGTAGAACTGAAATACTTACAATTGATTGACCAGTGAGTCGTGTTTGTATAGTGCTTTGATGCAAGTCCAATTCTATAAATCAGGTTGAAATGTGGTCATTGGTCTAAGAGACTCAAAAACATTGTTATTTATCGACACGCACATACACTATCTAGGCATATGAAGTGATGTATCTATAACCATTAATAGATTGTTGTTATGTTATTTGAGAAACATAAAAACCCAGTAATTAACTTGTTTATCTATTATTTCCAGACTTGTTGATACCCTGGTTCGTATAGGAAAACATATGGGATGTTATAAAATTTCACTTGATTGTAGTAATGAAAAAGTTGGATTTTATGAAAAATTAGGTTTTCAATGTAAAAATAATATCATGTATATACGATTTGATGAAGATTAAAACTAATGTGAACTTTTGTATAAAAAAGATATCTTGAAAACAAAAAGTCTTTCAGAATGTTGAATAATTTCCGGAAAATGTTTACAAATTAATAATAATAATAATAATAATGACAGTTATAAAATTCAACTCTTCTGTTATTTTAAAAGAGCACGGGTTCCTATTGCCGGGAAATTTCACTAATGTATATATATATATATATATAGATATATATATTAAAACAATTGTCTGTAATGTTCGTGACATAATTCCCACTATTTCATGCACATACACATAAATACCATTATTATCACACATTTCTGATGAGGAGTACTCATATTAAATATTGACACCACACACACAAAAACTATACACAATTAGATAGACAAAAAACGTTTCTGTTTTTAAAATAGAATTATGAAGAGAAAAACAAACAATGTAAATTAAACAATTTCCAGGAATTTTCTAATATGAACACTTGTTTGATAATTATGTTCATCAAGAGTAAATGTATCACTGGAAACAATTTTGACTTTAATGAAAGACACCTAAAATATATTAATATTTATGTATGTTTAACAACGTTCCAATGCTGCAGTCCATGAATTAAATGGTGTTAATACACTATAACCATCTAAACGTGAAAGTTCATCTCGATGTACTTGACTTGATTGAGCTAATTTACCAATAAGTATTGCTGCATTCCTTTTAGTATCTAATCGTTGACTTTCCTAAAATGTTGAAATATCAACAAAAAAAGGAAACCGGTCAATAGTATTAAAATGTATTGAAATTAATGTATAAAGTATATCTATTCTATTTGTAATTTTACTAGCTAATGGGTTGTGTTTTTTTTAAAAAATTACTTTTGTAACGATTATTATTTATTACAACTTACTTGTATAAGTGCTAATAAATCATATATTACTGAAGTACCTTGAAGATGTTCAGCTAATGGTGTATCTGAAGCACAATGTTGTAAAACTAAACAAACATTTCCTGCCAATGGTTCATCTCTAGGTGGTAGTTGATTTGATGAAACATTCAATTTACAAATAACTGGTGATTGAATCGTATATTCCGATAGTCGTGCACGAATAAAACGTGCTAAACGTCGAACACGTCGTCTATCATCACCAATTGCATAACGTAAACTAATTGAATGATTAGTACCCAAAGCTAAACAACGAATACATCCATTAATTAAATGAGATGTGATATTGTTTGTTTCGTTTTTTGACTGTGAATCATTCCCATTTGATTGTTGTTGTTCACCATTTACGGATGATGGATTGACAGGATTACGTTTAGAACACGAATCTAATGAACTATTATATATGGGAGAAAAAAACACTATGAATGACAAATATGTACGGGAATAACATAAACTCTTAACAACAAAAATAAGAGAGGAAGTATTCACATTTAAATATTAGATTGTCAGATGACTTTCAAACATTAGTTGTCAAGATCATAAAATGTTTTAAAGTGACGAACTGTTTTAAATATTTTCATTGTCATGCTCTACAGTAACAAGTTCAAAATTATTGTATTACAAATAAAACAAGAGAGATAAGTTCACCCTAGAGTCCTCATTACGACGAATTCATTTTCAAAGCTGTACAATCACAAATATATACTTACTTTTCAAAATAATAATTATTACAATAATAGAGATAATGAAATTCCTTTTTTGCTAAATATGGTAATAGTGGGGCAAAATAAATAAACGCATAAAAAATAAGTAGGGAGCTGTCAAAAAACAGTTACCTTGCATCTTCTTAGCATTGCTATACATCTGGAAATACCAGGATTGTGTCCAAAAGAAATTTGTACAACTTCTTTTTCTACTATGATTTAAATCTCTCGTAATTTTTATCTCACAGTTATCTGCTTCCTTCGTATCTTCTTCTCTGTAGAATTTTTACTCCCAAGTGATTTGTTTCTGTTTCTATGATCCTCCTGATTACAGATTCATCTCAATTTCAGTAATTTATCTTATCACACTGAACCTTGCCTTTCATGATGAATATTCAAGCATTCAACAACTACTATTAGTTACGCTGATAAAAAAGTAACATTATTTTACCTCACTATTACCATGTTTAGCGAAAAAAGACCATGGTTCGAAAAAAAATAAGTGTGTATATTTTTGATTGTACAACTTTCAAAATGAATTCAACGAAAAAAGGTAGAACTCTTCACTGAAGCAGTCATTCTTACATTATCTCTCAATAGGTATATTCTGTATTACAATTAGTAAAAATAAGGCATACAGAAACATGTAAGTTAGACAAAATATTAAATTAGTGAACTTTTGTATTGGTTACTCAATTAATCCGATATGGCATTTCTTTTAATAGGCATTTTGTTTCGTATTATATTGATTGGAACTATATATTTCATAATGATTTTTTTCTTATCTGTTTACTTAAAATTACAATTCAAATTTACAAATGACATATTTTGAACGTATTAAACCCATAACCTACACGTAAACGTTTACTATTTTAACATTTAAAATTGTTTAATTCGCTTAATAATTTATGTGGCCATTGTAATTAAAAGCATAAAATTCTGGTTGGTTGGTCTTAGTAACTACGACAACGATTGTTCAATTTCACTATTACTAGGTAAACTAAAACTATTTCTTTAAGTACTTATATCAAATTATGACGATATGATCATTTTGATTCTACAAATGATTTGATGAAAAAAAAAACAAGTTTGATGTTATTCCAATAGATACATCAAGAAAGATATTATTAAGGCCACAACATACTTTCAACTAAATCACAAATTTATCTTGCCAAAATAAGGTTTATGTAAAAGAAGATTGTTTTCTTTGTACTCAAATTGAGATATCCTCATTAGCCATGTAACACAGAAAGTAAATGGATTGCCTTCAACTACTACAGTTTTATAAATACACATTATCACAAGCTACGGGAACGATATACACCAGTCCCTTTTTAAATAACGTTTACACATCTCATTCAATACAAAAATACTATCACTTAGATCATGAATCGATCAATGTTAGATCACCACTGTAAACCTGGAAGCACTGTGCGACCGTTTCCTCCTAGTATGTGGGGTTCCTCAGCAGTGCGGACCAATGACCCTGCGCGAAGTACAGAACCCATGACCTCCAATCTTGCGCGCGAACGCTTAGCCTCTAAACCACTGAGTCGGGATCCAATAGTGTTAATATATGACGTCAATCATTCTATAATACTGCTCGACCAACTATTGGATAATTTTCTCACACCCGACACCATTTAGCTCCACTGGTCACAACTCACTAGAACTCTGAAAATTCTTTCTTGAAGCTAGTCACTAGTGATCACATGATAATTGTCAGTAAGGGGTTGTGAAAATTTATGATTTCAATAAAATTCAACAATTCTCGCAACCTCTTATTAGCAAAAATAATATTTCAACTTCAGTGACTTATCAATATTCGATTACTGTCACAAACTAGGAAAATATATCACAGTAACAGCATCCAAAATTGAAACTTACCAGCTATCTAAAATTGCAAGCAGTAGACGAGTTCGTGGTGTTAAATCGTTAATTGACTCAGTGGTATGCTCTCCAAACCAGGATGTAAGCTAAATAAAGATAAATTTGTACATCGCTACTAATATTATCATTTGATAGAGTGAAAAAAGTTCTTTATAGTTATAGAGCTCTACTGGTGTTTAAATTGATAATGGATACAATAAGTATGTCATGATTTCATCATGGCTTCAAATCATTCTTTTACTTTACACTAAGCAGGAATTTCCATTCTTTCCTCTTATTAATTCTTTTTTGAACTAAATTACTTATAAATAAAAATATTATTTATTTTAACACATAGATATTGGTACAAGGAGGCACCAAATACATATGCGCCACACAAATCCCATTTGGTTTGTGCGAGGGTTGCGATACTGCCCGGGTGCCCAAACCGGAGCAGATGGTTTTCTTAGGGGGCCACACCCCGAGCCTTTGACCTAAAGGTCTAGTCCACAAGGCAGTGGAGCATCGTGAGGAGGTGCAGTCCCATGGTAGCCGGTGACCAACGATTGGTTCATACGCCATTTGTTCCCTCAGGATACTGGAACCTATGTACACTATTGATTTGGGATCCGGTTGAAGCGCCGGACATTCGCTTTTCGTCCCCGCCATTTGAATATAGTGAGTAAGACTTCCCTGGCAGAGGCTATATACGCGTTGCCATGTGAGAGCATTTCAAGAGGGAGAGCGGACTCTCCCTACTCTCGGCCGTACCACGGCGTTTGGGGGAAAAGAGTAGAAAAATTAAATTTTTTCGACATTTTGTGACTCAGTGTAAGCCACTTCTTCAGAGAATATAATTTATTATGCTTCCTTCGACATGATCATTGATCATACTTACTTTACTTAATTTGTTGGTTTCCCTCTGTTCTATTGTCATATAAAATGTGACTACATTTCGATCAGCACACAATTTTGGAAACCACCTTCATTATTTGCAACTTACTATTAACTGGCACACTACTACTACTACTATTTTTTTTTAAATCCGGAAAAAGGAAAACTGCCAGAAAAGTTCACATTCACCAAACTTGATCACTTAATCAATGTTAACATTACTTACTTGATTAGTATCATGACATAGAGGTAATAATCTCCCAGCTAAAGCAACAACTACAGCTCTCAATTCTGGTCCATGACCAATTTGATCCAAAATAGCACCGATACCATTCAGTAAAGAATTAACTAGTTTGCTTGATGTTAAACAAGATGTTGAAAAATCATTATTTGGAGTATCTAACAAACTGAAGCTATTGTTATTAGTCACCATTGGTTGGTCCGATTGTCCCACATAAATATTATGTAATAATCGACAGATTGAAGCGACTAGGCAAGCATGACTTTATTGAAAATAAAAGATAAATATATAAATGCACAGATTAAATGATAACAGAAGTGAATTGGATAATCCTTGATGGGATATAAGTATTTTTACTTGAACAATTAACAGGAATTTAATGAAAATATTAAATTTGACTGGGATAACTATATGAAAATCTATACCAATATAAGAACAAAATGAGTGATTTAGATTATATTAAAATGAATAAAACAATTTATCTGATCCGTTTTTTTCTCTTACACTCTATCTCATCAATCATCAATATAGTTTTGATACATATTGAATGATCTAGGAAGTTATTTATCGATCTTAGAGATATAGATTATCAATTAATTTATTGGTTCATTCACATTTGTTAGCTAGAATTAAACACTATTACTAATATACAACATATTTTTATTCATAGGATATAGTTATAAAGTCAATGATTTCTGGTTAATTTATTTCGAGTTTGTCAATGACCTACTCTATTTACATTGATTCATTAGTCATTTATTTGTTCATTTTTTCTTTTGTATGTAAGCGTGTGTATGCGTGCAACAATTGATTATTATTACATAATCTGTGGTGTATTGATGTTAATTTTGTCGACATTCTATTTTTATTATTTATATTTCGAAAAGTCAAGTGAATATATGAATTATCCTATTTAGGACTTCAACTCAATACCTTTCGCTTTAAAGGTCTTTGGTTTTATTAATTGAACTGTTGAATCTAGATAGCCACTAGTTAAAATGTTATTTCAATAGAAGCACGTTTAACACATGTTTATGGATTCTCTTATCAGCTGTATTAAATGTATATTGAGTTAATGAATCAAGAAAATGATTAGCATGGTTGAAGATAACACTCAGATTGAGACTGTAAAGTAGAGGTTAGTAAGAATTGTATTTTTATGAAGTTAATTATATATTTCGTAGAATCCATACAGTGAATAGTCTTCGGAAGTTGAAGGGAAGAAATAAAACTAACAGACAAATGAAGACAGAGATTTACTTTTTTTTTTAAGAGTGGTAAACGAATGTCAGATGACATAACGACAGGGATTTTAATATGCGTTTTAATGAGGGGTTTGAGATGAAAAGTTATGTAACTAGGTGTTTGAAACTTACGTTACCAATACTTGCTAATAAGTAAGCAGATGACTGTTAAAGAGATGATAACTGTTAGATTACGATTTCTGTCGTTTATGTTTGGAAATGAAAATAACCCATTTTTCATTTACTTCAATATATGCTTCTATGCAAAATTGTGAGTTGGTATTCGCCAATGGTAAGTTGTTTCGGAGTTCGAACTACTTCAGGTGTTACACAGATGATAACAACTCATGGACCAAGTGAATTTGTACTATTCCACGACAATTATTACTTTTGTGTTCTATTAAAACTTATGCAACGCAATAGTTAGTTGAGAAAAACTATACAGTTAGGATCATTTATTTGACATAATTTCACTGCCGCGTCATATATTTTAACAGTACTTGTGACAATAAAGTAGGTTTATCACAAAATGGCATTAACAGAGTAAACTTTGCAAAGCGAATGAAAACCACTTTATATTCAATTCACAAATATTCATTAGTGCAAGATCGAGCCATCAATCTTTGGAAATGATAATAAATAAGACATTCGTAGCCTGTCAAACAATTAATGGCAAAAAAATGAATCATTCATCAGTGTCATCAATGGAGACTCCACTACCCTTCACTTTATTATCAAATATGGCTCAGTCACTAATGACTCCCAAAAAAGTGATGAAATACACCTTGGTAAATGAGATTAATGGAAATATGGTAATAAATTATAATATAAGTTAAAATAATCGAACAAACCTAGCATCGCTCAGCAGTGGGACATGATATGAAAGACAATTAGATAATCCGAATAATAAAGCTTTACGACTTTGTAGAATAGTTTTTTGAAAAGTACGATCTTGGCAAGCATTGCCTAAACTGTCTAACAAAGTAGCTAGACACTGGCATGTTGTTGATGACGGTTGATTGGTATTAGTAGTTGGAGATGAAGAAGTTAAAGCAGACTCAATGACTGATAATAGACCTTGTAAACCTTCACTAGAAGATCGAGCAAGTATCTATGGAGTAAAGGATAAACATATTTGTTTAGGAAAAACTATTGGTATTAAACGTAATGAATTATATAGTGAATTACACACAGAAAAATTCGGATAACACACTTGAAAAAATAAGTGATTGTTTGCAAAATAGCCAAATACGTGGATTTATGTGGGGGTTTTAAAAAGTATGCTTTATGACTGATAAATTCTTCAACTCTACTTTTTACCACTGTTCATCGTATAATGATTTATTTGGGATAATAGGTGTAGTATGAAGTAATAATAATCAAATACGACTCGTTGACTATGCTTAACACTCATTCATTTCTTCAAGAAGTATTGCAATATTTATTTAAACAGGAGACGATAAGTAGAATGGCTTAGAATCAGTTACAATGGTCTAAATGCATTCACTAATCTTTATTTTACTCATGAATTCCAGTATTCCACAATAAGTACCTTTTTACTTCGACTTTCCAAACAATATTCTCAATACATAGTCTTTCTATATTATCGTTGCTAATATGTTATTTCGATACCTCTAACGTTCATATTGTTGATTTCATCTCGCAGAGGTTATGTGATATGGAATTTAGTGCTAACGCATATTTGTATCGGGTTCTACGTTGACTGTAACTTATTGACTAAATGGGAAATACAGACAGACAGTTGTTCCCTGAGTTCTGTGATTGCGCTCCTAGGTCGCTAGTCCAGTTTCTTTTTCAGGTCCTCCACGAAAGAATATCCTTCACTCGTGTGGGTAACCCAGAAGCAAATACTGCTCCCATTCCTTTAGAAAGACACGAGATTAAATCTTCATTATCCAATTTCATCTTCATCAACAAATATTACTTCTACTTCTATTATTACCTTTTATTTTCTTTCACTTCAACATTACCACTTATGCTAACAATCCGAGTTCATAAAATGTTATCCCAGGAAAAACATTCAACTATTTGTAATCACCTACATATACAGTATAAAATATAGTGTGCAGTTGGATTATCTTAATGCAATTAGGTTCTAAAAGAATATTGTCATTACACAAACTAACATACAATAAAGTTTCTAAATGACAATAACATACTAACTAGTTATTATTGAATAGTGATCAGTATCACTTTTAGAAACAAAGGAATACGTTCATTTGAATACGTATAGTTAGTAACAAGAAACAATTGATAGCAAGGGATATAACAACCTTGAGGACTGGAAACCTATCGAGAGTATCATTTGCCTCAAGCTTGTAGATACGACTCGGTAACAAGTCTAAATTAGCGCCTAACAATGCGTGGGTTAGGAATAACACTATACTGAATAAATCGAACTAGGTAAATGAATGTATGATTCTGATGCGCAGTAACCGGAAGTTGAGTGGTGAAACCACTGAACTATCACAGTTGGAATCCGAAGTTAAATGTCAAATAACAGTAAAAATATTTGACTAATGTGTAGCTCTACTAATAAATGGCATACAGTCTGGTAGAAATAAACTAAACCACATTGGCTCAACGAGATGAATAATAAAGGTGTCAAAATAATGTAGCGGCAATGATAACGAGGATAACTAAGCATTGAGAATATCATTCGAAAATACAGAGTAAAAAGGTATTTGTGGAGGAATAGTAGAAGCCATGATCTATAGTATAATAAGAAGTGAATACATCCGAGCCACCGTGAAGGATTTTAAACCATGTCATCTTTCAATGTCTTCAACCACTGGTCACAGTTATCGTGCAGATCAAAACAAATTTGTCTTCATCTACTAAGACGGATCAACAGAACAGTGAAACATCTCGTTGACTGATGTTAGGTTTTCATTTTAGCTGCTCCTAAATTTGGTTTCATTTACTCGCTTCCACACTAAGTACACACGTCAGATATAAGAGGCCCCGAAACGTCTACTATCACAGTATAGTTTTAATAAGATACTAATAGGAGTTTTGTATACTTGAATTGTTATCGACGTTGCAGAACTTGTAGGGAAGATAACTGAGTTGAAGTAAGAGATAGTGTGATAATAAGACGACAGTGCACAGATCAATTAGACATTTTCTTAATCAGTTATTTGGACATTTATAGGAACTTGCGATTGTCAAGCTAAACGGTGGTTTAATCGCTGAAATTTTTACAAATATAACTTTTCACCTTATCTTATTTTGATATTTCGCATTGAATTTGAGGGTGGTACTTTAAAACTTATATTTTCAGTAGCTAATCAACAAAGGACATTCCTAATCTTTTTCATAAATACTTAAAGGGTAATGGAAATATATTATCCTAATTTATTTACCAGTTATTTCGCATTATTCAGTTCATTTTTCCTAATTGCATAGCTGAGTTAGTATGAGTAATAACCAATAACCACTGTTCACCAACCGATCTTTTATTCTAATATGATAGAAAATATTAAAGAAACACTATCTATCCACTTGGATAGTATAAAGTTGATTTTCATAGGCCCAGGTAACAAGAATCTTTGGTGTCATATCTTTTTATTACTCTTGATACTGTTACTATCTCTACTATTCTGGGATTTGTTCTAACAATTTCATTTCGTTGTGCAACTTAAACGGATGTACATACCTACCAGATTCTGTGTTACGACTGACTGATTGACAAGAATCAATAAAAACGTAAATATCAAATATTAGAGTATAGCTGCACTTTTCACACGTATAGTAAATCTGTATCCTTTGTTACACCAAAATATAGACTTATTCACACGAAGTAATTGACCAAAAATATAAAATCTTGTCAATAAACAGTAATTTATTACTTACAAAAAGGTCATATATATATCTAGTGATTTGTGAAATATAAATATGGACATTTTACCAATATGTATGCTTGATTTGTGAGAAACATACATTTCAGTTTTAATTTAACTGTGTGTGCTTGGATGGACCTATATCTCACAGCACTGATGTGAACAACACGATTTAGACAGTGTATACGGTAGTAAATACCAATTTTCAGTTAGTTGTTAGTCAGTCATATGTAACACGTAGTCTGGTACATATATATGTATCGGCCTATTTGTGGACAATTTAAAAGTGACATCAGTGATTTTACACTGAAAATGAATGACGTAATACCAAATCCAATTGATTATATGGATAGTAATATAGACGATAAGTCACCACTAGTCATAATAAAGAGATTAGTTGTATTATATTCAAATGTCTAAAATTCATTGGTAACTGGGGTAATAATCTATGTGATATTTGTCTAATTTTTTAGTGTTGGTCATATTCCATCGACCAGGTTGCAATATGATTATTAGTCTACAGCGGCTCGATATCATGGGTTTCCTGTAAACTACCTCCAACCACCTAATATATCTGAATATTAGGTAGTTTATATCATAAAAAAACATGGACACAATATATTTCAAATAAGTCACAATATTACCAAATAATGTAACGTATTGAAAAGAATAATGACCGGGTTTGTAGATTGTGATGACCAAATCTAGTTATATTAGCCGTAACACATACCTTCAGATTCTACCACGCTATGGAAGCTTTTCAGAGAATTAAAGAAGCAAACCTAAGGTTCGAAGACAAATTCATGCTGCTGAATATATTGATGTATGACAACGGTCAAGTTTTTCTTTCAGACAAAAAGCGTCTGAAGTGATTATGCCTAATCACAACGAATGAAGAGAGATAAGGAAAATTCGATCTTAGAAAACACCACACCTCACCTATTCCCACGAACTTTAGTGGTTAGTGATGAAGTATGAGTAGTTGATTACTTTGAAAGTTTATACAAAATAAAACCTAACAACCAATAGTTGTCTGTTAGAAAGCTCAGTATTTCGGTCAAGCTATTTTATTCTTACAACAGGATCAATAAATTATTGTCCAAAAAATAAAATGGAACTTTTAGCAAATTTATTCTATATAGCCAGTTTATTTACTGGACAATCTATACAATACGACCTCATTACATATATATGTTTACTGATAAGACTAATATTGAGAAAGAAATAATAAATTTTTGACTGATTACATTTCTCATTATTGATGATGAAACAAGCTTAAAGAAAGGTGAGAAAGTAGACGTTATGATAAGAATAGACAAAACTGAGTAGTAACAATAATGATAGTAATAAAGTTAACATTCCAAATTTACTGTTTAGGTCATCCGTAATAATATAATGTTAGTCGATAATAAGTGCATAGTGGAGTAGACGGAAAGAATAATAATAATAATAATAATAATAATAATAATAATAATAATAATAATAATAAACATTCCAAATAACTTTTAGTCATTCTTTAGAAAACGTTACATTATGGGTATTTATTGACCACTAATATATTAGACGGATTATTACAAGTGATTAAGATGAAAGAATTATACTTTAATTGAAGTTCAAGTCATCTTTAAAATAAATTACTCCTTTTTATTGACGTGTAAGCATTTAGTGTAGTTTTCATAAACTAACCAGTCGGTTATAAATAACCTACAGCCTGGCACGAACATAAGTTAGCTCTAGTTATCATACCATAATCATATAAACACAAGGAAATGATATTAACACGATGAATAGTAAACGAGTCAAAATAATGCATTGGGTAGTGATAATTAGGAAGGCTAAACATTGAGAATATAGTTCAAGAGTTATGAATGGAAAAAAAATATAGGAAGGATTAACAACTGTAGCAGCTTGCTATCTTGACATGGTGATCGGGTTTGTAGATTGTGATGACCAAATCTAGCCGTAACACATGCTTTTAGATTCTATCACGTTATGGAAGCTTTTCAGAGAATAAAAGCGGCAAACCTAAGGTTCGAAGACAAAGTCATGCTGCTGAATATATTGAGGTATGATAACAGTAGTGTTTCTTTCAGACAAAAAGCGTCTGAAATGATGCTGCCTAACCACAACGAATGAGGAGAGGTTAGGAAAATTCGGTCTTAGAAAACAGCACATCCCATCTTTCCTCACGAACTTTAGTCGCCAGTGATGAGATCTGAAAACCATGGAAGTAACGCATCAAAAAGTACTCACAAAAAGATCACGCATGGCCTGCCTTCGAGCAGCTATTTACTCGGGTTCTGTGTTGACGACCCCACGTTGTCAAGGTCATCCCTAAACCTGCTTTAGTTTCAATTCCTTCAGAAGGAAATATCCTTCCACAGGATGTACAACCGGGAAGTAACAATCTCCCCCTCACATTCTTAACAGCACCCGACATCATACAAAGAACCAGTCAGAATCGATTTTGTGTTATAGTTTAGAAAAAGTGAAAAATATTCTAACTAAATGTTCGAAATATTTTAAAAGATTAACCTTCAGAGTTTGGTCCTTACACATGAACACGACTAATTTGTAAAGATAAAGGAAGTATCTAAAATAATGGGGAAAGAAAAGTAGGGATAACCTTCTAAACTGTACCCTTATCTTAATTACTGTGCATTAAAGGAATAACCTATTCGCTAAGTACAAGTTTACATACTTCGTATTGAGGCACATCATTTGTAAAGAGGCTAGTGTTTTCAATTGTCTGTCACAGCCGAATTAGATAGAACTGTGTTTAAACTCAAGATGTCCTCGTTAACTGAAAACTGGGTACTTTGAATGACAACTCTACACTGAACTAAGAGTCACGAATTTCCTGTATTTGCTATAAGGGAAAGACATTCCTTTTTGATATAGAATAGAAATGGGCAACTATGGCTTTCTAATTAAATTGATTCCAGAACCTTGGGGCTACGGAAATTTCCGTACATATCCCCAAGTAGCTAGAACCTGAACTTATATAACATTAAAAGCGCGCTATTTTTTTGAGCACCAATCATATGCTATAATATGTATTGATAAGCAATGATAACCTAGAAAATAAAATACGCATCGCCAATAGATCTGTTGCAGTCAAATCAATGTGTGATTGACAGTTAACTGGAATGCCACATTAGTAATATTAAGACTTTAGGTGGTTGAAGGTAGTTCACAGTAAACCGTATTCGACCCAGATTTTATGTTAGTTGATACTCAACAGCAATGTGTGCCTGCAATCCTAGGGGGAATGATGCTCCATATAGGATTCGAATCTCCACTACTCAGCTTCACAGTTTGAAATGTCGCTACTGAACTAATCAGGCCACGAACAACCTCCTACAGAATTGAAAAAATTTACAATTGTTTGACTACTGAGTAGTGATCAATGTCATATTTGTCTAATCTCTTAATGATGATCACATTTCATCCATCAATTTGAAGTATGATCACTAGGCTGAGTGACTCAACAGATTAGTAATTTTTTCATGAAGACGAAAACTAATGAAGAAATTACTAAGAATAAAAAGTACTTCTTACCTTCCAGTATTGTGGATTACATCTAATGTTTGGAAATTACAAATAGTAATCTGAGATTGAGTAAACTAATTAGAGTAAATTCCAACAGATGTTTACAACTCCTAGTCAAATAATTACAGAATACCACAATTATTATGTTTTTTAAAATCATTCTTATACGCTTTAAACTAAGCATTAATCTGGATAGAGAATCACAATTTTTACTGAAATCCCATTTAAGACAAAGAATAAAAAAAACAAAATTATTTTCAGAAGGGGTTTTGTGGAGATTTTAGTAATTTCAATAGCTGAGATCATGAGTCAATTGAGGCTAGACCACCATAGAAAACCTGGATGGCCGTTTCTTCCTAGTGTGGGACTCCTCAGCAGGGCGCAACCACGATCCCGTTCGTGAGATTCCAACCACAGGACCTATCGGTCTTGCGCGCGAACACTTAACCTCTGGACCACTGAGTCAGTATCCATTAACATCGTTGGATGCCGGTTCAGTGGTCTAGAGGTTAAGTGTTCACGCACGAAATCGATATATCCTGTGTTTGGATCTCACGAGGTGGGGTCGTGGACGCGCACTACTAAGGAGTCCCACAATAGGACGAAACGGCCGTCCAGTGTTTCCAGATTTTCTATGGTGGTCTAGCTTCAATTAACCCATGAATCCAACCAAAAAAATATTTCTTTTAAAACTAATAATGAAATACATATATACTATTCATATTTATTTTATTTACACTTACAAGGAATCTTGAACTTTCTGTTAAATACTCCAATATTTGTGCAACTTTTGTAGCACACACTGAAGCTATTGTCGATGAAATTAAATTGGATTTAGCCGTGTCTACATTATTACTGTTTGTTGTATTAACTAATCCAGATGATCCTGATAAACGGCCAACTAATCCACGTGCTACATCAGCTAAACTCGCAGTGTTTGTTGATGTTAAAGTTGGAGAAGTCACTTGATAGGAATTGGACATTGAAGTTGATAAACAACTTGCTAAACTTGTCAGAATAGGACCAGGTCCATATATATCTAATAAAGATTGTCGACCACTTGGTAATGAAGTTAAATTAACCAACAAATTACAAGCAGCTAGTCTAAGTGCACCGAGAATATGTAGGCTTCGTTGTTTTTCTATAGTTAAGCTGTGAATTGATACGAAAAATTAAATATTGGTTATTTAGTCTATAGAGTTACAAAATGTTTACAATAAAAGCTATGTTAATTTCCATAGTACGATGGAAATGAATTGGTCAACGTACAAAAAAAGTGATTGGTTAAGTGTTTGTTAGAACTCTTATTGTGACTAAAACCGCCTTAATCTAATGGATTCAATTTATCCCAAGGTCACTAGTAGCAATCATTATTAACAGACGAATTGTATGTCAAGAACAAGCTCAAAATAAAAATGTCGAAAATATGGTATGGAGAAATAAGCATGTTATTAAAGTTAAAAACAATGAGGGCAGTTTGTCTTGGTATGATAATGAACAGAGTAATGAGTTTGGATAATGTAATACGAAGACGAAGATGATCAGAATTTGTGATATATTAGCGCAATAGTTTTCGAACAATTTGATCACACATAATATGTTTTTAAGAACATTTATATGTAATCTTTCAAGACCAACTAGGTAATCTTCGTCTTCTTATTATATTATCCAAATCTATTAAAGGGACCAGTTGCTTTAAGAGGCGAATGTGTTAATTTGTATGATAAATACGATGCAGATATGGTGTAGCTACATTTTTACTTATGAAAACTTGTCTACTTAATAGCATTTACGTAATATACTAACGATATCTGAAATAAGTCTGCAAGACTGAAATCAATAATGCGTGAAAACAAGTGACGTGTTCAAACTTGCAGAAGAAAACTAAACTTGGTGATGGCGACTGAGTACAAGTGGATATCAGGTTTTTTATCTTATGTCGCACACACAGTGAGGACGTTTTCTGATATAAAACGTTTTATTGCATGTGTGAATAAATATATTTTGAAGATGTTATATTCTTGATTCGTTTATCAGAAAATAATTAAGTAAAAAGGGAATAATAAGATTCTTTCTACAATTGAATTGCAGATTGTTGTGCCAAAAAAAAAATTTGGTTGGTTATTGTCCATAACTGTAAAGTTATTGTTTCGCCGTTTGCTTGTGACTGTTTTAACCTCTGATCGCGAATTTATTTATCCTTTTTTTAATTGGTTGACAGATTAGAACAATTTCGATATGATGGACAATAGCTGTAGCTCAATATAAGAATCTAGAATGATGTTCTGGATTCTCTAAGCTGTTATTACAGTTTGAAACAGATAGCATTGAACTAGAAAATAGTCGTAATCGTACATGAATATGGCAGCCAGTCGCAACATAGAACCTAGTACGTACGTACATCAGGTAATGTTACTATACCTCCATTAGCACAGAGCGGTCAGATTGTCAGGACAAACCCAGAATAGTAGAGGTAGTAACAGTATCAGTTGTAATAGAAAATATTAGGGATCAAAGATAAAATCTGAAATGTAAACTGTAAAATAATATAAAAGCTATGAGGAATTCAGAAGCCTAGAGTTTGGAGGAAGACAAGGAATGGATATACGTGTGCCGTTGCAAACCATTTTGAGTCCCGTCATTCAAAATCTTTAACGACTGGTTACGATAATAACGCGGAAACCAATCAGGTAGTCTGCACCTATCACAACATGGCTAAGTCCAATTGTTTGTGACTTCATGGACTGATGCAATGTTTTGGTTTGGCTGCACCTAGTTTTCTTCCATCCTGCTCTCACATTAGAAAACATCGCTCGTCGAGGTAGGCGGTGGTTGGGTATACGTAAAACACGTCCCAACCACCTGAGTTGATGAAAAGTAACAGCTTCATCAATGCTGTTCCATTCTTACGAAATACCCTATTTCTAACCCAGACATTGTTCGCTTCGTGGTCTTAAAGTATGTGAGCAATGCCTTGAAGATACATATGATTGAATACTAGTAACATGGGAATATCCTCTATTTTTAATGACCATGCAGTAAACCCATCTTTTGGTTGGCGGACAAATATCTCACCTACGTCAGTTGGCAAAATCCAATGATAAATTCAAAACGTTAACCAAACCCTTAAATTAAATAAAACATTAACAAACTTGATATTTTCCGATGACAATGACGACGGTGTTTTTGTTGAATGAAGTGTTATTCGTTGAACAAACTCAGGTGATAAATGAATACAAGCAAGTATAATTTTAATTAAATTAGGTTGATGTTCAATGAGTAATCGTTGATTTTCTGCACAATTTGTTGTTAAATGATCTGCTAGATTAAGTAAAGCAAGCATTCTCTCAGATTCATCAAGTAATGAATAAGAATTGGTTTCATTTACACCATTAACTTCATCTCTTCCACTTTCAGTTATGTAATTATTTTGATTAGATGTACTGACATTTGAATGTTGCATTAACATCTCTTTTTCATAAATATTATCTGGATTGAAAATTTGATAGATTGCCTGAAAAATTCAATAATAAAATTAAAAAATTAAACCTTTTTTGAAAGGAAATTGTAACTTGGGTGTTTGAGGTCAATCAGTTAGTCAGTTACAAACACATATGTGCATCAATTCAACTTATATAATATCTAATGTAATATAATCAGTAGTATTAGAAAAAGTTAAGTATAGGAAATGATTTTTAAAAAAATGGGTTGGCAGAATTTTTTTAGAAACTTACGATTGTTTAGAAATTTAGGATATAAGCGAAGAATGGGAGTGAGTGCACCTGTGTCATCGCGAACTATTTTGAACGGTGTTACAGAAAGTCTTTAACCATTGGTTATAAAAGTCGTGTTGACCCCTATCGGGTAGACTGTGAACTTACATACGCAGCTCAGTCCAATCATCAACGATTTCATGAACTGATGCATAGTATTTAGCTCTAAATATATAACCTAGACACAAGAAAACAATGTCGTTGTTCGTTCTCTTTCGAACTGTCCTAATAATATATACTAGGGTTAGTGTACAGAATCTTGTTTGTTCATATAACAAACATGATTGGCACACGTTAGAAAGGTGTGCTTGCAATCTTGAAAGAACTAATGCTGTATGTGAGACTCAGGCATGAGTCATACTGCTTCGCAGTGAAGCGTCGCCAATGAGCTAATAAGGCAGTCACTCAATCATCAACATAGTTTGACAGATGAGTGTAGACCAAACACACTATACCAAAATAGAACAAGATGAAATTAAAAGGTATGGAAAGGTATGTATGAAGAAATACAGGAAATGAAGATCGAGGAAAAATACTCAAAAACATGTCATCTTTCAATGTCTTCAACCACTGGTCACAGTTATCGTGCAGATCAAAACAAATTTGTCTTCATCTACTAAGACGGATCAACAAAACAGTGAAACAACTCGTTGACTGATGTTAGGTTTTCATTTTAGCTGCTCCTAAATTTGGTTTCATTTACTCGCTTCCACACTAAGTACACACGTCAGATATAAGAGGCCCCGAAACGTCTACTATCACAGTATAGTTTTAATAAGATACTAATAGGAGTTTTGTATACTTGAATTGTTATCGACGTTGCAGAACTTGTAGGGAAGATGACTGAGATGAAGTAAGAGATAGTGTGATAAGAAAGCTCGTTTGGTTTTTTGCAAACTTACATCACCTGTGGCGAAAGTAAGATATCCGTCAATCGACTAACGGACGAGTATACTGCGCGGCAGTTCATTCTGTTCTACTTTACGGCTGCGAAAGTGGCCATTAAGAGTAGAAGATACTTGGAAGCTACTAGTATGTGGTCACAGATGCTTTAGAAATATTGTTCGCATCTGCTGGGATCACTGGTTAAGTAATAATGAGGTTAGACGTAGGGTTTTAGGGAATGATAGTAAGTCAGTTGATGAGGTTGTGAATCTTCATCGACTGAGATGGTTGGGTCACGTGTTGCGTATGCGTGAACACCAATTATCACGACGCGCAATGCTGAATAGTGTTGAAGATGGTTGGAAGAATGTTAGGATTGGCTACACCAAAACGTGGCATCAGTGCTTGGAGCCACTAACGTCTAGTCTTAGCCATGTTGGTAGATGCAGACCACTTAGTCGGGGTCCGCGTAACTTTCGTAACCAATGGTTGGAGACTCTGGGTGACATAGCTCAGAATCGATCACAATGGCGTAGGTGTATACACTCTCTGTCTTCCCTTAAGGTAGGAGATTAAAGCCGCTTCATATCTTTCTTTATATCAACTAATTCTTTCTTCCTGTACTATATCCTTATATGCAATCTTTCTCATATATATTCTATGAATCCAGTGTTCATCTTGTTGTGCTAATGAGGTATGGCAACTTGGACCGATGCATATATGTGCCTGGTCCTACGTTGTAGTGGACTGACCTGACTGTATAGACTAGATATTTCATTCAACACAATTACAGGTAGTCGATCTCAGTGAATCAGGAGTAGAAACCAATGAAGAAAGGAAATCACATATTTAATAGTTAGTGGGTTAAAATCACATTTCACTTTCACTACCAAACATCAATACTATATTTACTTCATGTCCTATATTGATTAAATCATAGGAATTGATTTTCAACACCACTGGTTTCGGGTTCTAATCCTGCTTCACTTCGGTTTACGGGAACGATTGTTGGCAGCATCACTAGTACTCACATAGTGTATCTTAAAGCCGAGTACGTAAGTGATACGTTACATAAATTGGATGAACGATAGGGGAACCAGATTCAAATATGATGCTAAATTATAAAATTGTGATCAGACCAGTATTTCGCATAACCTGACTAAAAATGTTATTACTTTTCCTGTATTTATGATTTTAACTGGACATTTATACATCGAAATTCTTAAAATACTACAAAGTGTTAGACCGGAATAACAATGGTGCAAAGTTACATAACCATATAGTGTTGTATAACTGTGATTGGTTGGTTGATAAATAATGTGTGTGGTTGAAAAAACTTTGCTATTCATAAAACTCCAGGCACAACTGAAACTTACATCAACTTCTTTACCCAGAAGGCTAAATCCACTTTTTATGCGAAAAATCGTTTGTAGCTCTGACAAAGTTTCAGTGGACAGATGATTATTGCTGTTGATACTATTGGAATCCTCAGACATTGGTGAGTTATGTTGTGCACCTTTACTTTTCTTATTAGATTTCTTTTTTTCTGAATTACAGTTTAGAGATTCTGAAGGTCCAATTTTCGAGTCATAAACCGTGTTGTTCAATTCTGTGACTGTTGTAGGCTTAGTTTTCGGGGCATTCATAAAAAGACGATTCATATAGCGTAACCCTGCGCTATAGTATCTGGAATTTTGATTTCTTCGAGCTAATTGAGCTAGGAGACTTAAAAGTTGTTGGCTAAAAAAGAAAGTAGGCATGTTTCTTGAGAAGTGATTTGAAAACTACAGTAATATTTACAAATGAAATTTACTGTGTTAATATCTCTTTAAGCTAAGACATTATTATCGTTATCATTATTAGCGATTATTGTCACTTTAGATTAGTGATTGAAGTACTTCATTGCTGATCTTATTAAGTCCCGAGTTTGAACCCTGTCCCACTTACTTAGGTTTGGATGGTATTGCAGTGAATAAAACACCAGTGGGGACAATCCAATGTATTTAACAACCAATTACAGAACTAGTTAGTAAAATCAAACAACCATATATTGAATCGTTAGTTTGCAAATTGTTCATCAATTGTCTCAAATCACTCAGAATCGCCTTGTTCTTGCATTTTCATACAAATTGCCTTCTGTCTTCATTCTTTATTGTTCGATCTTCTTATCTCTCTGCCGCCAGACATTCTGTTCAGTGCTCACGTCATATACTACTTATGTCTACATAAGTAGCACACACCACAGTATCACTAGCCGTTATACAGTGTCCCAAAGCGTAGTAAATGTACCTGTGCTTGACAAGCTCAATTGCATTACATGGTTATTATAAAATCGACGATCCCTGATGTTTATACAAAATAAGTGATAAAATCACAAATAAATACTTTAAGAAAATATCGAAGAGCACTTAAGTTGTAATCTAACACATTTGTTGATCAAAAATTCGTAAAATAATAATAGTTAGAAATTGCTAAGTTGAGCAATAAGACTATAAGTAAATTACTACAATATATAGAGCCCAGAATTGAATGGCAGTATTATAATGACAGGAATTCGATAAAAACTTTAGATTACGTGGTTCTGTAAAAACTAGTTTCTGTGTTAGCGATGTCACCAAGTGTTCATTCGATATAGAGCTGAACAACTCTGTAGTCTAAATAATGATTTGACAGACATTCGTTTTATTTCGCTTTGAACGGTTGAAAATATAGATAACCGATATACAAATTAAATTTTCATAAGAACGATTAAATTATTGGTTTATCGGTTGACCTAAAGCAAATTCTATTTACGAACGAATGGGGATCCGCTAGGGATACGATATACTGACGACATTGAGCGACTTATTATGGTAATCCAATCAGAAGTAGCCGAATGAGGTCATTTGAACACAACCAGAAATGACTTGAAGGACAACCGCATATCATTGGCTGAGAAATGGATCCATTTTCTAAGGGATATATATATATATAGACGGTGAGAGTATTTGTGTATATTGTTTGGTAGCCCGATAGACTTTCTCTCTCACTCTTTTCTTCTCGCTCATTTTGGGGGTTTAGAGCGTAGCACGTTGTATATCAGTATGAGATCTCGGAAACCACCCATAACACTTATCAGCCGACCAGGAGACGCTATCTAGTTACAAAGCATTGGAATAACAGCTATGCTCAGAATAATTAACCATCAAATGTCAAATTATCTCTCATGATAAGGGGAATAGGTCTTGTTTACATACATATTAGGAGTCGAGCTAGTGTTGTGAGTTAGGGTTAACACCTCCATAGAGTTTTCGTCACCAACTGATATCAGTTATGGTTCAATGCCATACAAACATTTTTTACAAAATTGAGAAACTCAGAGTTAAATCTAGAGTAAGAGTAAGCAAAGAGAAAAATGCTATCTAGCTTCGCTAAACACTTGATTATGCGATGAGCCACAATTAAGTACTTTAACGGACAATCTATTTCAAGAGTAGTTATGTTTTGTAATTTAGCTTAGGCTCCATATAAAATTCACTTTTCGGTTGCATAATAGATATTTCAATTGATCTCAAGTGTTTCGGGAACGGGATGTTTTCAATTTTTGTTTAGTTAATAACAACATATACATTATCTATCAGTGGACTTTAAATTTCGCGCAAAATGCATAGGGCGTTATCTTAATTCCGATTAGACAATTCAAGGCAATCATTAAAATATACTTTTGACGAGGATTCTTCCGATGCGATGCAACGAATAGGAATTCGAATATTGCAACAACATTTAGACGTTAATCATTCATACGCTAATGGAGGTAGAGGAAACGGGACTTTGAGGATAACATTATACTTCGTGTAGACGTCAAAAATTGAAATGGAACAACACTTTTTATATCGCCACGTAACGTACTTGGAGCACATAATTAAGCAAAGTAAAAGCGGTAACGGCCAACCAGATAACAGTAAGTGATATTGTGGAAATATGAATTACGAAACTCTCATCAAGTTTACACTTGAGAGAATGAACTAAGATGGAGTGACAAAAAACTACATCAAACGTGGTTTGCACTCCAAATGCTGAGTTTTTATAAATCATATATTGGTTAACTAACTCACTAACGGAAAAGAAATAAGCCTGTAACAATTAAAAAGACATCACAAAACAGTGGATATTTCTGATACTATTGTGATTACAAATGTAGAAACTAGACGACAATACTATGTTTAGAAAACGCATCTAACTGAAAAGAGGGAAGGTTCAGAGTTAAACTTAGATTGCGGTGAAATAATAAATGATTCGTGATTTAAAATAGATTCAATGAGATAGATTAAAGAAAGCAATAAATCAAAAAGATAGGGAACTATTGATCACACTTCTTAAAACTTGCGAACACACTTTCATGTACCTTTGTCATTGGATTAAACAATGTATAATATGTGAATTTTATTATTAATTGCCAAATGCTTATTTTGCCAAGTTTATTCACACTTTACAATTAAATAAAGAAATAGACAACAAACACATTCACGTGAGTCTCCTCCACTAAGAGTTAAATTAAGTAAATTCAAAATTACTAGTGGTAACTGATAAATACTAAATGTCAACAAGCTTTACGTGGGAGTATTCAACAACAGGCTGTAATAACAAGGGTGATAAAAGTGAATTTTTACAAGAAAATTTGCCTCAGTAACCATACGGTTTACAGAACCACCAATTTATTCAACTTTTTACTCAAAATTATTAAGAGTCAATATTATTCGATCTACGATTTGGTTATACCTTTAGTATTGATCCGAAGGCTCTACGTTTGAATGTAATTATGCAAGTAATTTTCACGATAAAGTAAGATAGGACAGCTGAATATCTCTAACGAACATCACTACTCATATCCCATAAGTTAATATGAAACCAAAGAAAGCTCTTGGGAAACTGACGACTTATTTATCTACCACTTAACAGTGGTAGACATTATCATGAAACATCTTTATTAAAGGAAACTAATGCTAAAATTTTTTTAAAGTCACATGCTGTAAAAATACATTTACTTCTAAAAAGCTAAAAATGAACACATAAGATTCTAAGAATAAAACTAAGTTTTTGAAAAATTAAAAAAAATATATCAGTACTGTCATATAACATGAATGGAATACAATGAACAATCATTCGATGCTACAAATTCACTTTTGCATACCGAATTATACACTGAATAGCCTGTTGGTTATATATATATATATATATATATATATATATATATATATATGAAAAACGTTATCTCATCATTTTACATCATAAGAAAGTATGAAATTTTATTTTCAAAACAATACAACTGTCATTGATGTTGTTGACTGATCACTACATTTTTTTATTGTAGTTCAGTCGGGAATTATCGGTGAATGTAATAGATTAAAATCGATTTAGTTTTGTAAGCAATTATCAACTGATTGCATCCTAATTAAATAATTAACCTTGTAACTTTTACCATGTCATACAATAAATCAAAAATTGTTTACATTAAAAATGTAAATAAAAAAAAATTAAACAATTATGGAGCAGTCATACTAATCAGATTATATTATGGGTTATTGAATAATCCTTTTTACGTTTTAGCAAGAATTAAAATACAAGTTAGAAATATAAACAACTGGATGGCCACTTAGTTATTTAAAGGTTCCAAGTCTGACCTGCAGTAGGGACGTGGATTCGCACTAATGAGGATCCCCATGCTGTGAACATGATTTTGGATGTTGTCAAAGGTGTGGAGACGATCATCACTTTCTGACTGAACACGCTATGGAAGGAAATTTCTTCTTGATAGGTCTGAAACGGAAATTGGATTAGCAATGATCGTAGGGACCTCGTAGCTTGACCGTAGAGACAAAGAGACAACCTCTTGAGGCAGGTAGCGCACGGCCTCCTTATGGGAAGTTTTTCATTTGTTAGCCTCGAATATTAAAAGGCCTTACCGTCGGAAACAGAAAACCGTAAGGTAAAGCGTGACATTTTTAGGGTCGAGTTTTTTTCAACTCCTTTCGATTGAGAAGGCAGTAACTATGCAGACGCTGGTTCGCTGAGGGAAACATTTTACTTCAATCCCACTCCAGTACGATTAGCCATATGATTTGACCATCGGAACCTAGGTTGCTGCTTTTAGTCTTACTGTTCCTCAACCAACCTGCTTGCTATGGTAAAAACAAGTGTTACAGTCAACACAACTCGGTTAGGCCATCACAATAAATAACCCGACCACTACGTTAAGGTGGTAGCTACGATCCCATAACATAGTGAAACAGCTGTCTCAAACTTTCTCGCCTGTACTGGCAAAGTACGAGAAACTACATAGAGTCAAACAAAGAATCAGCATAAACCTGATGTTAATGACTAAAACTAAAAAGAAAAGAGGATTAGACAAAGATCACCAACCTAGAAGGAATATTATTTGAGTTTTCACTGTTCACATTTAATTTAAAGCCTATGGCTGATTGGGCGAAATTTTCTTCAGCTTTTGCATCGGCTTCTTGAGCAATTAAAGCAGCTTCAGCTTGTAAAACATATTCAATTAAATAATTTGGCCATTTTTCACTATTAAGTTTTGTCGATGTAAATTTTTCAGTTTTTGATGCTGAATAATAACGAGATAATGAATATGCGGAAAGTGCTTCTGATGGTCGATTAAGTGACATTAATGCTTTACCACGATGTAAATAAACTTTAGCTAGACGAGGATTAGAAACAACGTCACGATTATTATTATTCACCACTGTAGACTTCATATCAGAAATGAGCTTTTGAGCTTCTGGAAATAGTAGTAAAGCAGTGTCACAATCTTTTAGTGATAAATCGGGCTGACCAAGACGAAGATATGCCTAAATATTAAGAAAGAGAACCCGAAAATAAAAGCATCAATGAAGGAATAACATAGGTGAATGTTTTTAATTGTTAAATTTTCTAAAGTTAGCATCCGACACTAAAAAGTGATTAATTTGTGTAAAATATGCTCGAAAACTTTACGAATGTTGTTATTATGTGAACGTATATATGTGTTTACGGTTAAGTGTGATAAATGTCCATAAAACTCTCTGTCGATAGATTAAAGATGGTTTAATATCTTATGAAAAACTGTACAACGCTTGTTTTGAAATGACGGATGTCTGATAATTCTCAGACCGATTATAAAAGGAAAACTTTGTGTCGTCATAATTATAGTGTGACTAAAATAATGTTATGATATATTATGAAGTGAATAGTTGCTTCACTTGAAAACAGGACACAACTTACATGACAACTGTCAAATGATTTTATAACAAATAACATAAACTAATCATTAAAAGTGTCTACTTTTTTACAAGACACAGAACCATATGAAGCAGAATAAGACATCAGTAAAATAAGAAAGTCGATAACTGTTCATTAATTGATACCAGTCTAGCATTTTAACGTCAATACTATTGTTTTGAGGCAAGAAAGGCTTAGGAATTTTCATGGTTTCCGTTTAATGTGTTTACGTGATCATAATTGAAAAGGCATTCAGGCTTATGGAATATCGATAAACATTGATACATGTTTAGAAGTGATCTACTCCCTCAAACAACTGACATCATTAATGGTTCAGTAGATATTAACAACCTGTCTAAATGAAGTAATTCTGAAATTTTGACCTAATATAGATTTATTATGATAAGAAAACATTCCCATACACTTTACATAAATTGTTATTAGGCTTTCTGTTATTAGAGACCTGTTAGTACCTTGATGATGTATGGACTCTATATTAACTAATGTGGAATACATCCAAACATAAGCGTACTGTCAGCTGCTGCTCAATTTTTGTCACATGAGAATTTTAATGAAATGTGATCTTCTGAACACCTTACCTTACCTAAGCATGTTACTCCTCGCGAAGGAGCATAGGTTGCTCACAAGTATTCTCCATCCAACCCTGTCCTGGGTAATCCTTCCCAGCTCTTTCCACTTGCTATTCATCCTTTTCATATCCGCTTCTATTTCTCGATATAATGTGTTCTATGGCCTTTCTCTTTTCCGCTTCCCTTCAAGATTCCAAGTTTGGGCTTGCCTCGTGATGTAGTTTGGTGATTTGCGTAATTTATGTCCTATCCATTTCCATCGTCGTTTCCTAATTTCCTCTTCAGCTGGAAGCTGGTTTGTTCTCTCCCACAGAAGGCTGTTGCTGATGCTATCCGGCCAATGGATGTTGAGTATCTTGCGTCGACAGCTATTGATAAATACTTGCACCTTCTTGATGATGGTTGTTGTAGTTCTCCAAGTTTCAGCTCCGTACAGTTGAACTGCCTTGATGTTCGCATTGAAGATTCTGACTTTGATATTGGTTGAAAGTTGTTTTGAGTTCCATGTGTACTTTAATTGAGGGAATGCGACCCTTAATTTGACAATCCTCGCATTAACGTCTGCATTTGAACCTCCTTGTTCATCGATGATGATTCCTAGGTATGTGAAGGATTACACATCTTCCAGGGTTTCGCCATCAAGAGTGATTGGATTGCTGTTCTCCGTGTTGTGTTTGAGGACCTGGGTTTTCCCCTTGTGTATGTTGAGGCCTACTGATGCAGAGACTGTTGCTACGCTGGCTGTCTTTATCTGCATCGGTTCGTGTGTATGCGATAGGGGGGCTAGGTCATCAGAAAAGTCCAAATCATCTAATTGGTTTTGAGCTGTCCATTGTATTCCGTGTTTTCCCTCAGATGTCGAGGTCTTCATAATCCAGCCGACCACCAGAAGAAAGAGGAAGGGAGAGAGTAGATAGCCTTGTCTTACTCCGATCCTTACTTGGAATGCACCTGTCAGCTGTCCTCCACGCACTACTTTGCACTGTAGTCCGTCGTATGAGTTCCGGATAATATTGACAGCCTTCTCAAGAACTCCGTAGTGTAGAAGAAGTTTCCATAACGTCCTCCTATCTACACTGTCAAATGCCTATTCATAATCAATGAAGTCGATGTACAGTGACGAGTTCCACTCAACTGATTGTTCGACGATGATCAGTAGTGTCGCAATTTAGTCTGTGCACGACCGATCCTTACGAAATTCAGCCTGTTCATCTCGAAGTTGGGCGTCTACTGCATCTTTTATCTGGTTTAGCAACACTCTGTTAAAGACTTTCCCTGGTACTGACAGTAGTGTGATGCCTCTGTAGTTTTCACACTTGCTCAGATCTCCTTTCTTTGGAATCTTGGTGAGGTGTCCTTCTTTCCAGTCCGTCGGCACTTGTTCCTCCTCCCAAATCTTCTTGAATAGAAGATGAAGCATGCTTGTAGTTAATTCGCTGTCTGACTTCAGTGCTTCAACTGGTATATTATCGGGTCCTGCTGCTTTCCCGCTCTGGATTTGTCTGATGGCCATTGTGATTTCGTCCGTCGTTGGTGGATTAACATCTATAGGAAGATCTGTGTGCTGCTTCGACGTCCGGTGGATTCGTTGGAGCCGGCCCACTAAAGAGTTCCTCGAAGTACTCTGCCCATCTGTTCCGCTGTTGCTGAATCTCAGTGATTGGCCTGCCTTCTTTGTCTTTGACCGGTCTCTCTGGTTTACTATATTTCCCTGCTGGTTTCTTCGTTGTATCGTAAAGCTGTTTCATATTTCCTTCTCTTGCAGCTTTCTCCGCCGTCGTTGCTAGTTCTTCCACGTATTTCTGCTTGTCGGCTTTATCGCTCTTCTTCACTTGCTTGTTTGTCTCTACGTACTGGGCTTGTGCTTGGACTTTCTCTGCTCGTGTTCGGCTGTTGTTAATTGCTGTCTTCTTGTTCTTCCTTTCTTTGATTCTGTCCAGTGTTTCTATAGAGATCCATTCCTTATGATGATGCTTCTTGACGCCCAGAACCTCTTGACACGTTGAAGTTAATGCTTCTTTGATACCTTTCCAGTTGTCCTCCATAATAGTTTCTTCTTCCTTCAGTAGATCCTGTAAGGCTTGGAACCTGATGTTGAGAGCGATCTTGAACTCACTGAATTTGTTAGTATCTCGAAGGAAGGCTGTATTGAACCTTTGCAGCGCTGTTTGTCCAGTTGTCGAGTCCTTCTTTAACTTCAGTTTTAAGTTGGCCACAACCAGGTGGTGATCTGAAACTGTGTCAGCTCCTCTCCTGGTTCTCACATCTTCCATTGTCCTTCGAAAATTTTTATTGATGCAAATATGATCTATCTGGTTCCTTGTGGTGTGGTCCAGTGAGATCCATGTAGCTCTATGTATACGTTTGTGTGGAAATATTGTGTCGCCTATGACCAATTTGTTGAATGCACACAGATTTGCAAATCTTTCCCCATTTTCGTTTCTCTCTCCCAGTCCATTTCGTCCCATGATATCCTCATAGCCGGTGTTGTCTATTCCGATTTCGGCGTTTAAATCTCCCATCAGAATGGTGAGGTCCTTTCTTGGGCACTTCTCTATGATTGATTGCAGCCTCTCATAGAATTGATCTTTAATGTCGTCGTTGCTATCATTGGTGGGTGCATAACATTGGATAATATTCATTGTGATCCCCTCTTTCTTTGTTTCGAATGATGCTTTGATGATTCTGGATCCGTGAGATTCCCATCCCACAAGTGCATTTCGTGCTAATTTGGACCGCATTAGAGCAACTCCCTGAGTGTGTGGAGCATGTTCCTTTTCGTGACCGGAGTATAGCAACATCTCTCCCGTATTTAGCCTTTGCTGTCCAGCTTGGGTCCAATGGGTTTCGCTGATTCCCAGTACTGTCAAGTTGTATCTCCTCATTTCCGTTGCTATTTGACTGGTCTTCCTGGTCTCCCACATTGTCCGGACGTCCCATTTACCTATAAAAAGTGTTGCTCTGGTTATTATAAGGGACATCGGCTTCGTGAATTCCGAAAGAACTTGACTTTCACCATGAGGCGTCATAGTTCTTCTAAATGAAGACTTTCTAACTCCCAGGGCAGAGTTTAAATGGTTTGCATTATTTTTTCTGGTTAGCGTTTTTTTAGCGAGTTAGTTTTCTACGGGATGGGGTCGCTAACCCCATGCCCAACCCGGGCTTGAGACCGGCAGTAACTCTAGAAGAGCTACAGGCGGAGTGTGATATATGAATACGGTAAGTTATTCTTACAACCCAAATACAAAAACAGTTGCATACAGATCTATCTGTGTCTATGCTTAAATTAAAAATCGGTAGTAAATTAATTGCGTGTAAGGACCATTTCACAGTCACATTCATCCTGATTTCTAGTGAAATCTCTATGGAGGTATAAAAGACAACCCTAATTTTTGTCATTTATTTTCCGTGTAGAGTAGGCAGAACATTCTAGACCATGATAAAATAATCAGCTAATTGCAGCGATTTTTTAATACTAAGAGTAGGAAGCACAACTAATGCAGTCAAAATACATGAAAAGTTTAAGGGAATTTAATTCAAAGTATGCATTGTTGGTGTACGGTAAGATCATCACCTATATACTACTGATAAAAAGTTGGTTTGCTGAATAATGAAATCTAATTCGAAAGTGACGTTGTGGATTTGTGCAGGATGCGTAGTAAATTTCAAGGAACGAATAAAAAGCACAGAATAACACTCGGCTTAAAATTTAAAGGAAGGTAAAGAACGAACCCAACTGCGACACTGCGAGAGACTTTCAGTAGCCTTATCAAACGTGTATAACCACTTAGTAGTTGGGAAATGCTATTCTGGAGTGCTACTAGTCCAACAGTGAGGTAAATATGAACTTTTCCGAGGTAAAAAGTACAGCTCACAGTTTTTTCACTCATTCTTAGTATTTCCTCCAACAGGTTGGCCATTTCCTTTATATTTTCCGTGCATGTCCATTTGATTTAGATAGATAAACCATTTGCCAACCTTTGTAATGAAACGGATAGAATCTTGGAGAAATGAGATACTTTGTTTGCTATATGATGGTTGAATATGTCCTCTTATGGCTGCGAAGACAAATATACTCCAGCATCCCAGTAAAAACGGATTATAAGCAATTAATTTCACCTATGACGAAACTGGTCACGGGTTATTTTAAAAACACCCTTCGTATTGGTATATAAAGGTGATCTGAGACAAATAACTATATTTATTGGAACCCAAGACTTACGAATATTTAAACCTCCATGGTGTATTCAGAAAATAGTTGTACTTAAACCAAACTTTGATAATATGGACTTTGATCTTAGCGTGAAGGACAGTGTGAATAACAGTCTCTTGTTTGTGCTTTTTATGTGCATTAACAACCTAATATGTGATTATATTGAATAAAATATATCACCCTAATATATTATATGATTCTGATAAAAATTATTCTCATGAAGAATAGGAAAACGATAAGAATGCAACACAATGTATATTCCAGTTTATTAAAAAGTTGTTAACCTTTCATGTAGAAATATTATGTGTTGTCAAAATCATTAAAGGGATCATTTGTTAAACTCACGAAGGAGTTTCGTGTGAAATTGACAGAACACTATGATATACGATGAGTGAGAGTATATCATATATGACATAACTCAGTAGCCACCCACTAACTACCAGAAAAATGAATGGGCCTCAAAAAACAGTTGTGATAAATATAGATTGCTTGTCCGGCGGAGCTAAGTGGGAGCAAAATTGTAAACATATAGAGATATGAGAATTGGGTATGGAAATTTTTGTTGAAGTCTATCTGAAAAGGTAAAAACGCTGAGGGATATAAGAAGATACCATCGTATAAAAGCTAGAACATATTGTAAACCATATTTATCTCTTAATTTATTAATTGGTATGAAAAAGTGCTGCCAGTTTTACTTGTAACTTACTTGAGCTCTATTAGTATATAAAATATCGTAATCCTTTGCCACATCGATTGCCTGTGAATACAACTCAACAGCTTTTTTACAGTTTCCAGCCTTAAAAAATGTATTTGCACGATCCTTGAGTTTATCTGCACGTTCTCGTTGTTTAGCTCGTTGCTCAGCACGTTCTTGTGCGTCCTGTGCAACCGCAGTCATAAATGCAGTCACATCATCCCCTTTTCCAGTTACATCATCTGTGTGGAAAAGTTCCAAAACCAGTAACTATATAACACAAGAAAATTGTATCATTTACATATAGTGAATGTAAATTCATACACGTTCTTTTGTACATTTCCATGGGAAATGTATGTGAAAACTGTTTCTAATTTGCCTAAGATAACGGGTAGGAATAATTAAAGCAGTGTCAATTGAACTACACCTAGATGTTCTTGGAGAAAATGATTTTTTAACAATAAACCTATGAATTCTAAACCCATGTTCAATAAATATATAGTCCCTGTTTAGGAAAATGAAAACACTATGCTTTTGTATGGAGATCTACAATCCCTTATTAATTTATTTATTTGAACATATAAATACTGGTACAAGAGGGCACCAAATATATATGCACCACACAAAACAATGAGAATTTGAAGAGAAGGGAAAAAGGAGGGTAAGGAGCGTAAAAACAAGAAAAAGAACAATAACAAACAGATTAGTGTAAGTTAGTGTAATAGTAATAATAATGGGGGAAAAGGAAAGGTACAATCAGAAGAAATCTTTCAATTAAGGAAGATACAACCACTTTTATGAAGTAAAAAAAGGTTACAGCAGGATTGCCACTGGCTTCTATTCTGAGCCATATCTGATAACGTCCCTAGCCACTGTGTCGCACCATCTCTCGGACCCCAGCCAGGAGTCGTGAAGGACCAACACAAGCCAGCCCTTTGCGGCTTTCTTGCATACCACGACACCATGTCATATACTGACCACCTCTCCGCTTTTTCCAACCAGTCCCAGAGTCGGCAAATAATGCACGACGAGGAATTCTCTGGGACGACATTCGTAGAACATGTCCAAGCCACTGAAGTCGATGTTTCAAGATGGTGACACCAATTGCATTACCGTCTCTGTGCCCCAACACACGATGCCGAACCTCTGCATTACTAACATGGTGTTGTCACTGGATGTCAGCAATCCTTCGGAGACAGCGATGATCGAACACAGAAAGTCGTCTAACGTCACCAGCTCGGAGAGGCCAGGTTTCACAAGCATAGAACAAAACTGCTCTCACCAACGCGTTGTAGATCCGACCTTTTACAGCCAGACTGACATCACGAAGGCGCCAAAGATGGCCCAGATTGGCATAAGCCGCTCTGGCTTTCACTACACGTGCATTGATCTCATCACTCACACCACCACCAGCACTTATGCAGCTGCCTAGATACACGAACTTCTTGACCACTTCTATCTTCTCACCATCCAGATTGAGTACAGAATTAGAATCCTGCCAGTCTTGTAGAAGTACTTTACACTTCGAAGGTGCAAAGCACATACCATACCTACGGACATTGATTGCCAACCTATTAAGTGCGGATTGCATGGCTTGGACATTATCGCACGGTAAGACAATATCATCCGCATACTCAGGGTCGAGAAGTATTTCTCCAAGCAACAGATCCACACCACCATTACTTACATCCATCAGAGCTGTTTCCAGAATGTCATCGATGGCAAAGTTGAAGAGGAATGGTGAGACTAGGCAACCCTGCCTAACCCCACTGCTCGAATGGAATAATGGAGAAAGGTGGTTGTATGCCCTCACTCTACCTGAGGTGTTTGTGTATAGGGCTTTTAGGATGTTAATGAACTTTTCAGGCACACCCTTCTTCAGTAGACAATTCAAGAGAACAGACCTATCGAACGAATCGAAGGCAGCCCTGATGTCAAGAAACACTACGATTGTTGGTCTTTGATAAGTATGGTGGTGTTCTAACATTTGGCGGAGTGTGAAGATATGATCGATACATCCTCGACCGGAACGAAACCCAGCCTGCTCCTCGCGAGTCAATCCTTCTCGGGTTCTGAACAACCTACAAAGTATGACGGAAGCCAATAGCTTGGACGCAATCGTAAGTAGACTTATCCCCCGATAGTTGTTACAGGAACGACGTGAACCCTTTTTAAAGATACGGACAACTATCGACTCATTCCATGACGTTGGTACGCTCTCTAGTTCCTGGAACTTTGTAAACAACGTCGTCAGTTCCTTAGTCAGAGAGCTACCACCATCTTCAAAAAGAGCCGGAGGTAAGTCGTGTGGGCCCGGTGATTTATAACGTTTCAAGAGTTGGAGTTCCTTGAAGACTTCCGCCTCATTTGGTGGATCAGTTGTCACCGGCCATGGAGGGCAGGACAGTCTGACCGATGTTGCCGGAGCAGCAGGCCAGTTGGACAGCCCTTCGAAAAATTCTGCCCATCGTCCAAGACGTCGATGGATGCTAGTGATTGGCATCCCGTCATCCTCGCAGATTGTTTCGCTCACACCAGACTTCTTGCTGCCAGTGGCTCGGATGAGTTGGAAGAGCTTCCGGTAGTTACCAGATGCGGCTGCCGCTTCCAACCAATTAGCACGCTCCGACCACCAGGCTTCTCGGTCCTTACGCAAGCTTTGCCCAATTTCATTACGTAACATCCTTCGTTTGTGATCAAACTCACGGTCACTCGGAGTAGACCGATGAGCTTCAATGAGTTACAAGGAACCAGAAGAAACCCTGTGCTTATAAGCGGGACGTTTCGCGAACGCACAACTGACTTTACCCGCCATTTTCATGGCGTCATGCAATTGCAACCAATGCTCATCTATAATATTCAGTGGAATGCTAGCTAGCCTAGAAGCTAGGTGGGTTCGATTATTATTATTATTATTTATTTTATTTTAACACATAAGTATAGGTACAGTGAGGCACCAAATACATATGCGCCACACAAATCTCAATTGATTTGTGTGAGGGCTGTGATACTGCCCGGGGTGCCCAAACCGAAGCAGGTGGTCTCCTTAGGGGGCCACACCCCGAGCCTTTGACCTAAAGGTCTGATCCACAAGGCAGTGGAGCATCGTAAGGAGATGCAGTCCCATGGTAGCCGGTGACCAACGATTGGTTCACACACCATTTGTTCCCGCAGGATACTGGAGCCCATGTGCACCATTGATTTGGGACCCGGTTAAAGCGCCGGACATTCGCTTTTCGTCCTCTCATTTTCATAAGTAACACCCCCGCCACGAGAAGGCGGTGAGTAGGACTTCCCTGGCAGAGGCTATATACGCATGGCCATGTGAGAGCATTTCGAGAGGGAGAGTGGACTCTCCCCACTCTCGGCCGTACCAGGGCATTTGGGGGCTGCTCGGTTCGATACTTACTGGCAACAGAAGTTGCAACCAGCTTGCTAACATCAATCCTTTGGTGGCGGTCACTTCGTTGGCCACTGAAAAGTAAGGTAAGATTGGCGCAGAACAGAGCATGATCAGATTCCAGATAGGTACTCCAAAAGGAGTGGTAGTCTTGTACACAACCACGCCAGAGGTAGCTGATCGCGATGTGATCAATATGAGTCCAGGCTTGAGATGCCGATTGGGGACGCCAGGTGGCACATCGGCGATGACTGTGCCGAAAGTTAGTGCTAGCCAGAAACAGGTTGTGGTCTATGCATAGTTGCAGTAGACGGTCCCCGTTATTTGTCCTGCGACCAACAAGTCCCCATCGGCCACCTAAACGACTCCATTCTGTGCCTAGACGCCCGACCTGAGCATTCAAGTCTCCGGCTAGTACTACAATATCTGTCGAACGCACTTTCTGGAGAAGAACAGTTAACTGGTGGTAGAATTCATCCTTGATTGCATCCGGGCTGCAATCTGTTGGAGCATAAGCGGAGATGACGAAAAGACATCGTTTCTCACGCCTATTTCTTCTCACTCTGATGGAACTTTCTAATCTAAAAGCACATAACCGACTGTTAATGGGGATCCAATCGATTAGTGCTGCCTCAGCTCTAGCGCTTAGTGCGACACCAACGCCAGCAAGACCAGACGAAGATGCCACAGGGTCCCCGGATAAACGCACATAAAACAAGCTTTTTGAAGTGACAGATGGAGAGCGAATTTGTAGTACATCACCAGAGTCTTGAATACGGGTCTCGGGTAGACAACACACGTCAGTATTAGGACTTTCCAAGACATAGCCAGCCCTATCTGTTGTCCGACCTGCATAAGTGTGCGAACGTTGAAGGCAGCTAGTTTGAATGGTGCACGTGGTTTCAGAAAAACTGCTTCAGTATTCGTATTCGGTAGTAACATACAATTTTCAACCAGGCAGTGACTCGAGAACGTTTAGATAGAGCCGAATTTTCACCATAGGCGAGCTGCTGTATAAGTCGAAAAATAAGTATACACAGAGTGGGAATAAAAGAGGGTGAATAAATGACGTAGTAAATAATAATGATAATAATAATAACAATAATAATAATATGCGAGTCATTTGATTGTTATTCGGAGCAAGAATATTTTTCATAGATAGACAGTTCATCATTTCTTTTTTTGCGTGTGGGCTGTGATACTGCCCGGGTGCCCAAACCGAAGCAGGTGGTCTCCTTAGGGGGCCACACCCCGAGCCTTTGACCTAAAGGTCTGATCCACAAGGCAGTGGAGCATCGTAAGGAGATGCAGTCCCATGGTAGCCGGTGACCAACGATTGGTTCACACACCATTTGTTCCCGCAGGATACTGGAGCCCATGTGCACCATTGATTTGGGACCCGGTTAAAGCGCCGGACATTCGCTTTTCGTCCTCTCATTTTCGTAAGTAACACCCCCGCCACGAGAAGGCGGTGAGTAGGACTTCCCTGGTAGAGGCTGTATACGCGTGGCCGTGTGAGAATATTTCGAGAGGGAGGGCGAGCCCACTCCACTCTCGGCCGTACCACGGCATTTGGATGCACTATCCCTACTTTTACCTGATACCGTCACAGATGTTTTTCTATGCATAACACCACTTATCTTGTAAGTCCTGTCAGCCCTGGTGGGTTAGTGCCCGACAAAATCTCAGCACGGATTCAGAAACCAGGGTTGGTATTTGCCAACATGTGTTACTTGTGGCGCTGGAGAGATGTCCATCTACCAAATAAAGGGTGTGTAAACTGAACAACAATCCTCCTTATATTACTTTGGGACTGAAAGTAAAAGACATCCGTGGACCTCACATTTTTTATCACAGGTGTCTTAAAGACATTGTCCATGTTTTGAGGAACGACCGAGTGAGTTAAGTACCAGGAACACTTGACCAATTGGTTGGTGAAGTTGTGAACCTTCATTAACTAAATTGGTCTGGACGTGTCAAGCATGACCAACCACTGACAACCTCGACATGAAATGTTGGGTAGAGCAGGAGTAAGATGGAAAAAATCTGTAGGCGTCTAAGCCATAACATAGCATCAGTCGATGAAATCACTGACTGTTGGTCTGAGCCATTTTGGTAAATGCGGACTACTTGGTTGGGGTCCTCATGATAATCACGACCAGTAATCGGGAACTTTGAGTGACATCGATCAGAATAACTTGCAATGGAGCAGATGCATTCATTATTCATCCTAAGTCTAAGCATTCCTTGATATAGACTTTTTTACTATCTTTTCGAACCACATTTCTAATGTTCAACCTTCCTCACTACCATCACTGCCACATTATTTTGATTACTTTTGCCATTTATCTTGTTATTTTCATTTCATCCTGCTTACACAATAATGACAAAGCAGGTCAACGTACATTTGTGCCCAGCTCTATCCTGATTATGAAAGAAAAAAGTGTACACAGATCTAACCGAAGGGGTAGGAGTACAACAAAAAATATGGAGAAATTAATGTCTATATCATTATCAACCATTTTATCCGAATGCATCTAAACCGTTCACAAGTTCACGAAGAATACAAAGCATACCAAAAAAGAAAGTAACGACTGGGTATGATCGCTGAACGAAGTTATATCAACTTTAGTCCATTAAGATGAGCCGTAGACCCAGAACGAAAGCATTTTTTTATACAAAATAGAATTGGATCGCGGCAAAGTTCACTAAAATCATTCAGAACGACCTTTCGATATAATAAGAGATCAAATTTAACTGCCATGAAGGAAATTTGCTGAATAAATTGATCATATGGGAGTGATGATAAGTAGTAATCAAAATATAGCCCGAAATCCCGGATTGGTCATGGTTCAAAGTTAGTTTCACAAACGCGACTGATGTGCTCACAAATAAGTCCTACTTCAAATTCACGTGTATATATTAAACCCCATCAGCTTTCTGGAATAAAAAAGGGCCAATCATGAGATGAAATTCCCAAGGACGTTTATGGCAACCAGACCCTAGGCTGATGACGAGCGACCGAGTGTTCAAAGAAAGTTAGGAAGGTTTAAAATTGAAGGGTGACAATTGAGTCTTTAATTACACTATAAAACAGAAATTACAAGTAATACACCTGATTTCTAGAAATTTGTTTTGCAATTGCAGAAAATTGGTAATACGAAGTATGATGGACGTCAGATATTATGAATTTTATCCTGCTTTGGTTTGGGCACCCAGGTAGTATCCCAGCCGTCACACAAATCGAATGATTTATGTGGCGCATATCTATGTTTGGTGCCTTATTGTACATATGTTTGTGTCTAAATAATAAATAATAATGAATTATATCCTATGTGTATCTCGAAATTATTCACAGAAGATATTATACTTCAACCAAATGTTAGCCTGATATGTAACTAACATTTTTGACTGGTTGAAAGCTTTTGATTGTGCAATTTTTGCTTTAGTTTTTACGGCAAAATAACATCTAATCACCATTAGTTGGGTTAATATTTTCACGTGGGTAAATCATTTGTATTATGGTTTTTCACTACCTTATTTGTATGCACAGACAACTGACTTAACACTCAGTAATCCGAAAATCCCCAGTTATGGAACACAAGAACTCCAAGAACTTCGTGAGTACGACGTGAAAATGTCAGTGTAATAGCTCCTCTTAAGGACTCAAAATATCAAGTATTTAGGGAGTACGCCATGTGAATAAAGGACCAAAACTGGTTGAAATCACAATGAGATAGTGTCTGTTAGCCCTGAACTCATTTTAAGTGGCATCACTAAAAACATGACACATAAAGCGGACCCAACCAATATTGATCAATTCACGTGAAAGAGGAATAAATCACTAAATGACATAAGAAACACAGTTCTACGCACGTATTTCAAGTGAAACACAAATAATAAGTATTACCTAGGTTATTTGAAGGTTGGTCCAATTTATTAATAACAGATCTGTCAAAACCTATAATTATCATAAAATGGGAATAAGTGTTAGCACTTACCATCACTGCACTTCTGTTTAAGAAAATCATCGGCTTCTTTGCAAGCTATGCTAGCAACTGCACTGTCTTCTGAAGAAAGCCTTTTCACTAAATCAAAAACTTTGTCAGCCTCCTGTAGTTTTTTCAGAGACTCTTTTTTCCTCATGACGTTCAGCTTTCCGCAGGTCTGCATCCAGACTTAAAGTACTCTGTGTGTTGGGAGAAGTATGAGGAGCAGTTTATGGAGAAATCTGGATGAAAAAATAAAAGAAAAATTGAGCCGACGACTCTGATTACATGCGATACACTTACGTTTAGTAATCAAGACAATCGACGACAGTCAGTATTAGAGAAATGGTAATAATAATGGAAACGAGTTGATAGCTTAAGGTCTCAAATGCGTCACAAACACACAAACCGCGCCCAACAAACTATCCTGACCTTAAATTTACCCCCACTGCACCCCTTGGTATTTATGATTATTCCGTTGAGTCAGATGCCGATGTTAATCGTTTTTTAATATTAATTGTGAGTATTTTCTTTCTTGAATGAGTTAACTTTAGGCCTAGAGGTTATCTCTTCTGATAGTCCCCTCACTAATTTTGCTTGGAGGGTATTTTTGTCGCAGACAACGTAAGACTTCAGACCGTAAGGTACCAACACTTCTAGATCTTCCCCAACTTGAGATACTTCCAGAGGGAAGTTACCTAAGTTGTATTTCTAATCTACAGCATGTCTCAGATAGACTACTTTACATCTTGAAGTTTTGCCAATGAAACACGAGGACCTATTCGAATCCTTGTGTTTTCCATCGGCTTATCACAAAAAAGATAATAAAACAAAGCACTTGTAGCTGTAAATGAATCCCCAAAGTAAATGGTTCTGTAAGTCTTCGACATTGATGCCGAACTCATTTGTTTTACTTGGCACACCTAACTAAGGGCGCTCGGCCACACATCCAGACCAGGTCACGAATCCCTTCCAACTGTTAGCAAAGCTAGACAAAACGCTTCTCGGCATATCTAACGTGATCTGCATTTCTCACACTTTTGCTGTTCTACGAAGCGTGCTCAGATCGCACAGTAACTGCTTACAACAGACTCAGTAAGTCGGATCAAAGGTGGGTATGTGTCAGGTGCAACACGGATGCTGAAGTTTTGCTGAGCAACATCATTGTCTTATTGACAGGTCTGTGGAATAAGTTGTCAGCAAACTTGAAAAAAGACAGTCCTAAAACGGATAGACAAACAAAGACTCACAATTAAAGCAAGAAGAGGGATCTTGACAGTGCTACTACCGATGGAGCATTTAATAACTCTGGTGATGACATATTGAAACTCAACACCATAATAACATCGACGGTATTAGACTCCCTCGGCATACTTGGGTCTCTCAGCACAGGATCCTGGAACGCAACGGTGGTTCACAAAAACTCTGCAAATGATTGGATCCCAGTTGACAAAGTTAAAAATGACCAGGCGTCATTGTCCGAGAAGCTGAACATCCCAAGTTTGTAGGAGAATCAAACGGTGATTTTTTCGCACCGTCTACCCTCAAGAATGTCCTTCCGGTTAAGAAAGAGCCTTGGAGTCGGAAACACGTTTCGACCGCCAAACAACATGGTCCTCAACCTGAATTCACCGGAAAACAAGGGATAGCAGTAACAATTCGTGATGGTTCTCTCATAATTATGAATCGCAATAACAGCGCTGACCTTCCCTTCAGTTTGCAGGACAATCATTACAGGATACCCTGGAGAGATTTGAACAAGAATCTTGAACTTCCCAGAATATAGCTTTTGACGGTCACACGGCTCACTCGTGGGAAAGACTCTAAGCATCAAAATCATCCAAGGCTACTTCGTGCAACACTCACTAACGCTACCGACGCTGATGATATCCTGCTAGCTAGTCACTTACTGGAATCAGATGGGAATGTAAGAATACTGCCTGACATACCATATTCTGAGCGCAATATCATCCGGAACATTCCTAAGGAATCTTGCGAAAAGTTTTTTCGCGGAAGAAATATTATTGTGCAAAGTGTACTGGAAAACACGAGCCCTTATCACACTAACTCTGATATTAGGGAATATAAATTCATCAGGCAATCCCTGGAGCTCAAAAACATTGACTCAATAAGTGATGAGACTAGTTAAGAAGGACGGAGATTCTCGACTCCGGCTGATGAAGATAACCTTTCCATCCCCCATATGGCGGCTGCAACTCTGGAAGCATTTCGTGCCAACAAATGCCGGTTACCAACTGAAATCCATATGCATCCAGATAGGCCACACGACGCCAGAATCAAGCACAAAGGAAAGTTGGAGCTGATCATTCCACTTGTGGACTGTCTTGATCATAAGAAACATGAAAAAACAGGAGCTGCCAACCCGAAAAACCTTGCATGGGTAGGCTAACTGCCCATCCACTTACTGCTCATGGAGACAAAGAGGACGGGGATGCTCACGCGTTTCGAATTGAAAACCTAAACTACTTATACATGAACACCACGAGTTCAAGTAATAAGATGAAGGAGCTACTTGAACTCATCAATGCTAATAATACTCATCTGATAGGAATATCTGAAACTTGGATATGTTCTCAGTTTACGAACCAAGAGCTAGCAATACCAGGGATGACGTTGTTTTGCAATGACAGAAAAATAAGAATTGGGGGTGGAGTAGCCTTATACTTACGATCCTGCCTGGAAGCACATCACGTGCACAACCAAGAGTTTATCAATCTTGATGGATGCGCTTGGAGCTCAGTAAGATTATCTACCACCCTGGAGTGTCTAGTTGGAGTCAACTACAGGAAGCCCACTTCTGACATTGAGTATGACAGTCGTATGCTGGAAGGACTGTCTCGCTCTACGCGTCTCGGATTCACTCATATCCTGATTCTAGGGAACTTCAATCTCCCTAGAGTCAACTTCGCGGAACATACGTATATTGGAAGTGAAAACTCAACTGAAGTTCGGTTCTTCAACCTCATTGAAGATCTGGGATTATTCAAAAATGTGAAATCGACAACACATTGGACGCCTCCGCGCTGAGAATGGGCGAAATATTCCCAATTGACAACCACTCAATCTTGGCTCCCTTGGGAAGGGGTAGCCATAACCTTTAGTTGTATCAGCAAAAAAATGAGCTGAGACATCTTGCCAACCTGCTGACTGCGGTGGACAGATGGACAACTATCCTTGATCGCAAGTGGAGGGTTGACGTCATTTGCCTTGACTTCTCAAAAGCTCTCGATAGGGTCAACCATACATGTCTCACCAATAAGCTCAAACGATTGGCTATCAAATCACCTCTAATTGATTGGCTCACTTCATATCTAAAAAATAGACATTTTAAGGTCAGGGTTAACTTCACTTTCTCATAATGGGGCTGCTCAGGGTTCAGTATTAGAACTTCGTCTTTTGTTGATTTATATAAACAGTCTTCCACAACAGGTATTGTCTAACTTGTTACTTTTTGCTGATGATGTGAAACTTTGGAGAGAGGTACGCAACCAAGAGGATATACTGGTACTTCAAGAGGATCTGACTCGACCTCAAAGTTGGGCAGACGACAATGGATTTACCTTTAACACTTCGAAGTGTAAAGTAGTCCATCTGAGACACGTCACAGACTACAGTTACAACTTAGGAAACTCCTCTCTGGAAGTATCCAAAGTTGAGAAAGATTTAGGAGTGTTGGTACCCTGAGATCTGAAGCCTTACGTTAACCGTCACAAAAATGCATTTCGAGCAACCTTGCACTGGTAACATTGAAGCGCATTTTTGGCCAGTTTGACTCAATAAATTTTTACACAATCTTCAACAGTTTCATTCGTCCTCATTTAGAGCACGGAAATATAGTATCTCACTCACTCCAGAAAGGTAAGGACAATCTGGAGTTTATCAAACGGTGAGCCACGAAATTAATTCGGGGACTGAAATTCAAGCCTTATGAAGAGCACCTCCAATCACTGAACCCGTGCCCATTAGAGTATAGGCGTCTTAGAGGTGACCTCTTAATGGCTTACAGTATCCTTAACACTTCTGAATATCCCCTTAAACACCTACTTGAGTTTAGCTCCAACATAAACCTAAGGAGTAACACCCAGAAACTAGAGACACAACACAACAGAACGGACTTTAGTCACAACTTCCACTACTGAAATTCGCTGCCAGACGAGCTAGTCCAAGCGACTTCCCAAGAGTCCTTTCAGAGGAAACATGACCTATTCTTAAGGACTTATAATAGTATCTTACTATGATTTATCAACTTCTTTTTCCTCTTTTATCTTTAATGTACCCAGGTTTTTATCTGTCCGCATCGGTGGTTCACTGTTAGTAGATAGGAAAGCCTGTTCAACGAGTGCTTTATTTATTCCGTATAGAACCATTTGTAATGAACTCACGTAACTCATAATCATCAACGCTTTACGAATTATGTTTAATTACTTACATTTCCGAATCACTAAACATGAACTAAATACTGATGTGAAACTTTGGGGAGAGATGAGCAACCCAGAGAATATACTAGTACTTTAAGAGGATCTGACTCGACCTCAAAGTTGGACAAATTTCGAGCATCTATAACAACACTGCCTCTTCCCACCAATTTATCCCTAGTCAAAACTAAAACTAGTTATATATGAAGGTTTTCAGATATCGCAACAAAGCGCTGTGGTGACTTATTAATCACGTGATATGGTAAGCTTAAGTGGCAAAACAAGAAAAATAGGTCAAAAAATGACTGGTGATTGTGATTATGAATAAATTGTTATCTTCCCATTGATATCTGCCTAAAATAAATGAATTTGACGAATTTTTCCATAATTTTTTTCTGAAGCTATTACGTGAGATATTGTCAGTGCGATCGGAGGTTTAACAACACTATGTTTGATGCAAATTTTCTGCGAGCTAAATGCATCACTGTCGAATTTACCATTTCGCGGTTGGACATCGACGTCTTTACACGTAACGAAATATGTTGTAGTTAACTATACCCGACTGCCAAACCAGAATTGGTGAAAGAACACTGACACGGAAATCCCTTTATTCATTCACTTACACAATAATACTAGCACGATGTCAATAACAATTGTCTAAATAACAATAATTAGAATAAACTTCATCATACTTGCGTTAGATATTCCTGCTGACGCTGTATTCCAACCACGAACTTCAGGCTCTAAACGATACAACCACGATCGAAATATGATGATATTGGCTCCAAAAACAGGATGATGTAACGGCCAAACTGTTATGACCTTGATTGTTCTACCCACTTTTTGGTGCCGAGGGTACTTGTCTAATCTAGATTTCGACCTTGATGCGATAGGCTGATCGGCTTAACCTTGAGACTAGTACGCGTGAGTTCGAGATGGGTTAGAGAGAAGAAAACTATTCTGCCACCTGATTGGTGGGCAAGCACACGAATGAGAGAAGACAAGACAACTGGA